ATTCCCTTTACCTCATTAACCTTATTCTCAAGTTCCTTTTTCAAAAATTTCACTTCAACTAATATATCCATAATCTTCTTCTCCATTATTAAACATCTAACCTAAAACCAATTGGGACTGGCTATAAGTAAAGAGGTCTAATTAACTATACTTTGGTCATTTCATGTAACATCACTATGTTCAATATTGAATATATCATTAATACTCTAGACTAAGGGCTGCGTGAAAGTATACTCTCTAATAGTTTGAAACTTTCCATATAAATTGTTAAATCTAGACATGTTGCTCAAAACATTCCCATGAAAGTATTTATTCACACCTACATCAAAATATACTAGGTCAAGCATTGTCCCAATCATAGCTGCAGAAAGCATTTTACTAATTTCATAATCTCCCAACTAAATTTAATAATAAGTGTAAAAGGGTTCTTTGTTAAGGTGAGAAAGCATTGCAAATAGATAAAACAGAATATGTCAGGAGACGGTGGAGAGGAAGATTGGAGTAGAACCTAAAGTATTTAGTGTAGAAACAGGTGGTAGTGGATGGTAAAGTAAGGCTGAGAGAAGTATTCAGAAAGAAAGGGTTGTCGAAAGAGAACTTGAGAAAAAGTTATAAGAAATTCATCAAAGTCCAAAAGTTTCAAATGAATTTGAAATTCCTATTTATAGATTTTAAGAATATGAGTTACATATCTTGAATAATAAATAAGAATAATAATGAATAATGGAAGAATTGACTGTTATAAAATGTGTTAATATATTATTTAATGAGAGTTTAATTAGCTTTTGGTGATAGGTATGATGAATATAGAAGTTCACTACCTATTCTAAAGGAAATTGAGAAACGTTAATATTTTAGGGAAAGGTTAAGAGATAATCATTTAACTATCTCTATATTTAATTCACCAAGCTAAACTCTTTGGAACATCCCAATAATAAAATTAACCCAAGAATCCTACCATATTACAAGGTTATTTTCACTTCTTTTTTTGGTGAAATAACATCCGATGAAATGTATTTTGTGAAATAACTTTTAGTGAAGCAACTTGTATTTCAAGAGCTTTCAATAAAGGTGTTGGTCTTGTTATTAGAGGAAGTTATTCCAAAAACGGCTATTCCATGAAAGTTTTGCTCCATAAAAGAGTTATTTATTGAATAGTTGTTCTGTAAACAATTATTCTGTAAAAAGCTTGTTTTATGAATAGCTGTTCCATAAAATAACTTTCATTGAAACAGTTTTATTACCTTTTTCGACTTATCTTCAAGTTTAACAACTTTAAAGTAATTTATAAAAATAAAATATTAGTAACGAAAATCAAGTATCTATAATAAGTTAAAGAGATCTAAAAAATAATCAAAATAAAAGTAAAAAATGTACTAATGAGTAAGAAAAATCACTTTCATAAAGACAATTATAATAAAAAAAAAAACTAAAATAACAATATTGTTGCACAAAAAAGTACTTATAAACTTCTTCCTACAAGGAATATAATTCAAATACTATAATTCATATTGCAAACAAAAAAGTTTGAGTAAAAATTAGTGTAACTAATAATTGGAAATCAAAAGAATAGAGGTTAGTAAGCTTCATATAGCAATTAATATTAGCATGCTTGTTTGATTAAATGAGAAAACAAATTCATAATTTAAAGAGCTAAAAGATTAAGTTATTATGTCTAAACTAAAAATATTGAAAATTTATCAAATTGACTAGACAAAACTTTATTAACTTGGGGCACATAATTAATCAAAAAGTAAGTGCAAAAGCAAAAATAAAACAAATGGCATACTCATCCTCATTCTATTGACCAAAAAAAAAAAAAAAGATTCATTCAACAAACAAAAAGACCATATCCAATCAATCACAGATCCTTGCACTTGCGACTGTATTCCATTATAGTTTGTATGCTGCAAATTATAGAGTATTATACAAAGGCTCACAATAAAGGGAAGAAAATATTGTTTTAGAGACACCAAAAGTTAGGAGATAGAAAATATAATTTGTATTTTCATAGTGTCCAAATCTTGGTTTTGAGTGTAAGTTCAATGATGAGTCATCTAGTATTAAATCACCCAAAGCTAGAATATTAAAAGATTAATTTGTGTTTTTCGGAGATTTATATTACGGTTGCAATCATATTTTTTGTCATGTTATGTTTATTGCGATTACAAATATAACAGATATGATAGCGGCAAACAAGCTTGATGCGATTGTGAAAATTTTTTTTTAATTTTTGCACAACTCATCATAAACGATATAAATATTATGGATAACCATTAACACTCATATTTTATATTTTTTAAAAAACTTTAAGACATTTTCATTACATTTTTTATATGGTAAAATCAATTATTAACATTTTTTAGTATTATAGCTTAATAGTCAAGATGCTTATTTTAAAGTAATTCAATAAAATACCCATGAATTTTACGAACATGACTAATCTAACTACATAAAATTAAAAAAAATAATAATATTATATGTGAAATTAATTGAAAAAAATAATAGATGAAAATTTTATTTTATCAATTAACAAATTATATTAATAGTTAGCAACTTAACTTTAATTAAATAAAAAATACAAATTAAAAATAAAATTAATAAAATTTTAATGTAAAATTAACTATTTTTAAATAATACTTATACATATAAAACACTTATAAAAATAAATTAATTATTCATCATCTTTCATTCTCTCTCAATTTCAATCTAAATAAAAAAAAATTACAAATTCGTATTTTCCACCAAACATTTCCCTATCAAATTTTTATCTAAATAATAAAATTAAAAAAAAACTAATTTTATTATTTTCTTTCTTACCCAAACTCTGTTTCTTCTCTATCTACTTCAATCCCTATCCTTCTTTTTTTCCCCTCCAACTTTTCTTTATCTTTTTCTTTTATTAGTAGATTGATATATAAAGTTGTTGATGATTGATTGTTGTGATTTGAGGTTGGTTGTTTTCTTTCTGTAGCCTTTAACAGAATTTGATAACAGCTATAACAGTTCATTTTTTATTGTGCTGCTATTTCTAGTTGTGAAAAACCGTTATATGTATGAATCATACGTGTGAATCGCCTTTCACACTCGTTGGATAACAATTTCAAAGGGTACCACTACCGCAAAATACCAACCATTATTCCACAACCCAATCACTATTTAATTCGTTAGAACTTTTTCCTGATCAACCAAAATATAAAAAAACACTTAGGTAGTATCTAGTATCATTTTTAAAATAATCATAATAATTTAATTACTAAAATGATCTTATCATTCATAATTTGAAATCACTTTTTTTGTTAAAAATTATTAATTCTTAATAATTAGAGATCATTGTATTTAGTATTACTAAAAATTAACTATTATTTTGTTTAAAAGTACCAAAATAGTCATGCACATTATAATAACTATATAGTTAATGATTTTAATGTTATTTGATGATAATAATTTGTATATAAAATATTAATAATATTATGTTTACTTCATAATAATTATAATTAAATTATTAAATTAAAAATATATTTATTGATAGTAAATTAGCTTTTATAGTATAAATTATGTAAAAAATATTTGGATTAGAAAATAAAACTAATATATTAAAGTTAAAAGATTATATTTTAAATAAATTTAAAAAAATTAAAAAAATCACACTAAATGTTTTTGAACTTATTGCTATTAATATTAGTTTGAAAATATAAAAATTATAATATAAAATAATTATAATTAATTTTTTAAAAAATAAAATTTTTAATTTACATATTAAATGGATAATATTGACTATTGTTAATTTTACACATTATTTCACAGTGATGATAAAAGTTTTTCATCTCTTTAAATGAGAATTAAATCACTCTCCAAGGCAATAATCTAATCACTCTCATTAATCTAATGTTACTGTCACGTAAGATCTCTAACTGATTATCAAATACAGTGATCTAAGTATCTTGCATAAATTATTATAATTTTTTGGGTGATCATCTTATTCCAAACACTACTTTAGAGACAAAAGAGAAGCCTGTGCATTTTGGTGTCTCAAGCAAGACTCCATTTGCTCATATCTGATGTGCTGTAACTCTATATTTGGTCACTATTTCATCAATCCCCCCGAGCATGGATTTTATTTGGTCGAATATATGTAACTTGGACTCCATTTCCTCAATCCCACCAAACTTATAGTATTTCATTTGGTCAAGTTTATGGAACTCAGTTTGCTGGGGCATATGGAATTCCTCCTGCTCAATTCCCTTGAGCCTATGTAACTCAGCTTCCATTTCATTAATCTTGTGCTCCATGTTCTCAACTCCTCCAAACCTGGACGCTATTGCCCTCAGCTTATCGAACTCCTTCATTTTTGCACACATAGAAAAACAAAAATTAAAAGAAAACTCCTAAATCATAAGAACTGGAAATGGATATACAGACACATCTCTTTTAATGTTACCTTATGTTTTTTCCGATAATTTCTATCAGCCTCGTTATTTTTGTTTCATTTTTCCTGCGGGGTTTGGGTTGGGTTGCGACCCCTTCGGTTTCGTCCACTGGGAACTTACACTGGTGTGGCGAGTAAAGCAGCTCAAATAAGAACGCGCAAGTTTTTAAGCAATAATTGAATCGTTCGTCTTTCGAACCAAAAAATGAAAATGTCGACCAATGGAACTGCAGACGTAAATTATTTATGTCTCTTGCACTAGTCTTTCTTTCTGTTTTTCTTTCGCGTGCTCTTCTGACAGGACTGAAATCATGCCGTAATATCAAAGTCCACTTTAAATCACTCCAATCTCCATCGAGTGGTTTTAGTTGGTCAAAATATTTTTTAGGATAAAGTTACTCTTCTTTCTGATTATAACTGTGTAATTATTGTTCATGCATCAAGTACACTTTATATTATTAAAATTATTTTATTTAAATATTTTAATATATTTAAAATAATGTTTAAAAAATTATTATTTAACAAATAGCATATTTCGAATTTGAAAGCCATTATCAAATAGTTGGAGCGCAAGTTTAAATTTGGAATAAACATTAAGAATGAAACAATTAAGTACCATCCAAAATTAAATTTAATTGATTTATTAAATTATTCTTACACTTTTAATAGATAACATTTAAAATTTCAAATTTTAAATTTTAATACTTACAATTCTTTTCTATATCCCAAACACAGCCTTTTTATATAAAATATATATATATAACTGCATAGAATCAAAATTTTCGAAATTCCTCAAGCTGCCTGGCCTCCTTTTTTTTTTTTTTTTTTTGGCTTTTCATTTCTGTGCTACAAATCCAAAAAAACAAAAAAAAAAAAACAAAAAAGAGAACATGTAGTACCTAATTGACTTCTATTTCCTGTACAGAAAAAAAAAGAATAAAAACAACCCTGTGGGCTGTACATTTAGGAGGAAAAGTCTCTTCAAAAACTAGCTTCTCCATGCTCAAAATTTCATATGCCAACCCAACACTACAGTGACACTAGTCATTCAACCTCTGATTTACCGATCAATCGGATTCCTGGGACTAGCTTCTGCAGTATTGATGTACCCTGGAAGATCATCATTTGGTAGTCTCTTTTATATTTGTTTAGCTGCAATTGACAAGAATGTTACATTCATCAATGGATCAATGACTGTTTACCCTCGAAGAAAGCAGGTGGAAAATGTCATTACCTCCTCCTGGGTTATCTTGCTGAATCCGAATTTCTTTGTCCAAATGGATTCCGCTTCATCAGCTGCTGGAAGCACAAGGTTTTTCACATTTAAGAAGCCAAGCAGCTTCTCAACGCAACTGAAAAGGCATTGGAAATAACCCTGCAAAATCCATATTCTTTTAGTTAGAACGCATAGCGCCTTTATCAAATGACCAAACAAGAAAATGGTTGGGGAAAAGGGTTGTTGCCATCAAGCAGTGATAGTTACCTGTCCTTGGTATTCAGTACTTGTTGCAACCAAGGGAATTTCAGCCACCTCCTGCCCAAAAATCCTAAAAATACCAGCTGACACAACCACTTGACTGCAAGATAGAAAAATAAGAATAATGGCTTTCAGATACCCTCCATTCTAGAAGATAACACTGAAAAGAAACTTAACAAAACAAAATACGAGTCTCACTTGACAGTTAAGATTGCACAGTACATGCCACCAAAATCTTGGCCCTTGACAGTTCTCCTGCAAAACCAATTAAAGATATGGATTCACAAAGGAAACGTCAAGGGAGCAGAACCACTGCATAATGGCAAGCATCAAGAAGACAAACAATAAAATAGGTAGAAAAGACAATTATTGCTTACCCGTAAACCATTGATGGGATGAGATCACCTTTACTTGATCCAGAGTCACTTATGGGATCAAAGCAGTCCTAACAAACACAAATGTAACAACATAAAACAATTAGTACTTAACCGGATAGATTCCTGTTTACATCAAAGACAGAATCAACAAAAACCATGTGAAAATGGCTCATGCCTTAGATGCACTGCAGTGACTACAAGACTTAAAGCTTATATGAGTGCCGTACAGGCTAAACAAGATGGCCAGGCCCTAGAGGCCAAAACAAACTGGTTACTTCCTAGGTAACAATGCTGTTATATAAAATGGATGATCAGCAAATACTTTTCTTAAGTACAAACAGAAAATTACATACATGGAAAATTGCAACAGCCTTGGAAAGCAATACTCTAGTGTCATCAGAAGATGTCATTTTCCCACTGAGAACCCTCCATCTTATATCAAGATTGGCCTTGCTCTCCAAACTATTTTCTTCATGCTTCTTCTTTATGATATGCAGAGATGAGTCAGGAAGCTTCTCTTCCCCACGAACTATCAATTTCTGTAAAGCAGAATGAATTCTATTGCAATCCTTGCAACAAAACCACTTTCCTTTTGGCAACTCCTGTTGAAAACATGGTGTCAATACTAATTTATTAACAGAACAAATTAGGAAAAACTATTCATTATTCAACAGAAACAAATGGCACCTTAAGGTCATCCATGTTATGGTCCCTCAAACATCCCACATGATACTCTCTCTCACACTGATAAGGAAAAAATGAGAACAAGGATCATCAAGTACAATAACAGAGTTAGCATATTCAGTAATTGGAAGCTCGAATTTGACAAATGCAAGCACAAACAGAACCAAGAAGATACCTGATCACAAAGTATAACAGTGCGAGGACCAAAACCTGACTTGCTAAAAGCATAACCTCTGCAAATATTAATAACATGTTAATACAGAAGAAGCAAATAAAGTTAAAAAAAATTACAGAGAGAGATAAATTAAGACAGCAAAATATTGAGACCAAAAAATTCAAGCCTCTGCATGAGTGCAGCACCAGACCATGTTGAGATCAGAAAAATAGTCAATTTGCAAACAAAGACATATTTTGGGATCTTATTGGTAAGCAGTTTCTCAGCATTGTATTCTAATTAATCAAATCATAGATTTTAACAGTCTAGAGTGTAATCTTAGATTTAACAACTGCTAGCAACTTTTATCTAGGTAACGGAAAATATTTTGTTAGACATAAATGCTATAAATATATTAAAGTTAACAGATTTCCACTCTCTAAAGGAAGTTGGCAACGGGGTATTTCAAGGATGAGATGAATGCATCATAACAAGATTTATTCCAAATAATCACAAAAGAATGGACCTGACCTGCATAGCACACAGACGCTGAGAACTTCTGTCTCTGGAGTTTTGATAATACGAATGCATCTCTTGCTTATCTGTTCTATTGGATCAATTCCAGCAACTCTTCCGGCAGCTAGAGCATTAGCATTATGTTCCACAAACTTTTCCTTTTGGAAGGTGTTCTGGCAATATCTACAGTGCCAAGTACCAGTTGGAATGCTTGATAGAGAAACACAATCTGCAATCAGCCAGTAATAAATCATGAGTACAAGAATCTCTATTGATAACAGACTAGTAATAACTGAAGTGACTCATATATTACACATTCTGTTTGAGCGGAGAAACATGGATGGTGATGCCAAGAGCAAGAAAAGTGCATTTCTGAATATTTCATTAATTTTAAACACAAAATATGTATTGACCGGTGTTGTAAAAGGCACACACTGCAGTCTAAACAACCCAAGGCATAAGAGCACTCCAGGCAACTCAAGAGAAACACAAAAATACACCATAAACAGGAAAGAATAAGTCCTAAAATATAAACTCTCACCTCTCTATCCTAAGTTATGTTGCAAGGGAAGGGAATAGGGTAAGGAGAAAAAGGAGGAGAAAACACAGTCCTCATATCAAGAAAAAGTTGTGTTCACAAATTTATCACTCCCTAGAAAACTTGAAATCCATAAATATTCAGTTTCACTTTGCAATATCAGTAACCACACAGGTATTTAAGTGATTGGAACATGTCACGAGAACACAATTTTGCCTCCATTAGGGCCACTCTGTTAAAAAATGCACTACAGAAAACTCAGAGCAAAAGTCATAGGCTTCAACTTCAAGGCAAAATATTATAAGACTAGCTATAATGTGAAAAAAAAAAAAAAAGGAAAGACATAAATTGGGATAAAAACAGAAGAAAACAACATAAGGCACTCAGATAAAATGTTCATAAAGTTTGGAAGTTGATAGGGGTAGTAGTCAGATAGTTCAGAATTTAGAATATAGTTTGACAGTCCCAAAAAGTCAAACATAAAGAAGCTAGGAAGTTGATCACCTCAGGGCATCATTTACTGCATGTGAGAGCTTTTTTTTTCTTTTTTGACGAAAGAGTTACTTTCTTTACTGCTGTTATTTAAATGCATCCAGCACATCAAAGGTTAATACAATCAATTGTAGCTTGAAAAGTTGCCAATAATACAGAATATTCAAGGAAAAAGTTGAAAACTGACCTTTGTGAAAAGCCCTTGGACATGTATCACAACACAATAGCTTCCCTCCATCCAAACAGATGCTGCACAGGTCATCATTCTCATTTGTAGAGAACTTCCGGTTTTTCAACAGGGATATTGACAATTCATGGAGAGAAACTCCATTTGATGTGTAAATGTGTTGAAAACTGTAAGCAAAGGAAATGTCAAAAACATAATTACCTTTACAGATATATACGCTAAAAATACAAAGTCATCCCATGTTGCCAATGTTCCATGCCTAAATTTTGGTGGCAGTGGCCCTTTCAAATATTGCAATGGTATTGCCACATGTGAAAGCGAGCCAGAACCTACATGAGCTATGGCTTACTAGTGCAATATATCAATTACAAGATCAAAGATGACCAAAAACAACAAAGCTTGACAACCTAAGACTGAACAGAGACTTACGGCTTGCGACGAGTTGCCCAACCAGCATGAGCTTCAAACTGAGAGGGGCTTATCTGCTCATTTAGCACAAAGAAAATAAAAAATCTAAGAGAATTTAGGAAACAACAAGTCCATTGGAAAAAAACCAAAAAAGGTACCTCTGAATTGCAGCAGGTGCAAAGTATTCCAAATCCCCTTTTATAACCGACAAGCATTTTCTGCAACACAACAAGTCACCACTTAGAAAAGACATCTAGTTAGAATAGACAATTTATGCTAAAATATACTTACACCAACCTGTCCACGAACAAAATACCCTAGTTCAGTTCCATCTGGCAACCCTTTTTCCTCAAACACCAATTTATGCATCCGCAGATCCCTTTGAAAGCAGTAACGAAGAGATTAACACAATATATAATTTTGATAAAAAAAAATGCCGAAAGTGACTACATCAACTATATACAACAGAGCAAATGTCAGACAGGTAAGCTACAAAAAAACAATACTTACTTTCTAGTTACTCTTCCCTGACTCTTAGTTTGTGATGAGCTGCATTTTGAAGCACTGATAGGTGACTTTGGAACCACAGTTGGTTTGGGTGATCTGAAATAAATCAAAGAAACAAAATTTCAAAATAAAGGTGTGAATGAGTTAAATTTTAAGAGAAATATCCTATCTTTGATCCTTTAGAATAAAGAAAAGTATCATCATGTAAGTAAAAGCAATGTGGTGACTTTCTGTGTGCATCTGCACCTAAAAGTTGCTAGCATACAAATTATATAAGCAAAAAAAATAAGTGATAGTTAACATTCACACAAATTTACTGCCCTTTATTATCAGCAACATGCATAAAACCACCACAAAACTCATAAGTTAGGCAAAAATTGATATCAAATTTTTGCACCTGCTAACATTGAAATGTGAATGCCACCATACCTATCACTAGCATTAGCCACTTCAGTTGAGGTATCTTGAGACTCTTTTACATTCACACATGAATTACATAGAACCTTAGGTTTCCCGGAGCCAGCTCCAATAGACTCTACAATAATAAAAGGCAAATAGCATTAAACTGTCTGGACAAACACCAATGAAAAATGAGAAAATATGTACATACAAAAGAAATGTGAAATCAACCTCTGCAGTTAAAACAAAAGCTGGATTTCTTCATGGAAGAACCAATAACAATATGCAGAGCATTCTCCAATGTGGTCAATGAATTCTCTTTGCATGCGTTCATTACATCACGCAGGGTATACCCATTCTCCAGGCAAATATACTCAGCTGGACGTTTGTTTGAGCTACCCGCATGAATCTCATATAAGGTAGGGGTAATAACCTACATTCATGATAAAACATCCACAAAAGCAACATGAGGGTATTTGCAAATTTACAAAATAAGACATCATGACAAGACGCATTAATAAATAAATAAATAAGCCCTTACTTTAACCCCCTTGCAAGCAGTGCAAAAACACAATATCCCTGTGCCCTTGATTACTCCTCGAAGCCCACTATTCCCCGAAGCTCTTGTAACCTATAATAACAGAAATATTCTGAAACCAAAATTTTCGAAATAAAAGAGCAAGATATTCAAACATTCACCAATATAAATTTTTCCCACAACCATACCTTTGAGCTTCGTGCATACCTCACATTTACTCCCTCAAGCATACCTGAATCAAAAAGATCCTTTAACTTTGTAGGGAAATTTCTCACAAACTTAGTAGACACGCACATTTCCCGCTTCATTGGACTATCCACACATTCAACCCTATTATCATCACCACTACTTTTCACATCACTCACATTCACAACAACAGCATCTTTCACAGCAGTTTCATTCACTGTCTCCACCTTTGGTTTCAACAAGGATCGAGTAAACCTCCGTAGAGGCTTCTCCTCCTTCATCACTTGCTCCATCTTACTATCACCCTGGCAACTAACTAAAACCGGCATACCCAAGTCCCCTTTGCTGGACTCACTTTTTATCACCAAATCCTCCTTTCCCTTTTCTTCTTCTAAATTCTTCGTTGCATTTTCCAATTCACTTTCCTTCTCTCTGATGTCAACATCCATTGTTGATTCCTTCTCTTCCTTTTTTTTTTCTTCCCTTTCTTCCTCTTGCTTTTCTTCTTGTGAAGCTACCACCGCCTTTTCGGGTTCACTTATTTCCTTTCCTTCCTTGTCAACTACATCTTCAACCATTGGTTCAATAACCCCATTTTTAACTTCCTCTTCCTTTTTCACTTCTACCCTTTTCGACTCCTCTTCTTCACAACCAACCACCTCTCTCTTTGGCTCTTCCACATCCACCACATCGCTTTTGGCCTCTTCTTCACTCATCAAATCCACCGATTCCTCCACAACCCTCACAGATTTCTCCAAATCACTCTTCTCTTTCTCAGCCTTTGCTTCTTTCTTCAATTTCTTGTTACTCCTGTTGCCCGGGCTACACACCGGTCCATTCTGGGCCTTCCTAGACCGAGTTCGACCCAAAGACCCACAGATCTCTGCTTGAACCTTCAAAGCAAACTCAAATTCACGCTTCAGACCCGTCCTTACCCGAGATAACACAACGAAATCCTCCGCCTCCGAACCGTTCGCCATTTAATTTAAATAAAAAGAAAAAGAAAAGCAAAACCTCGGATCAAATCAAGAACCCTACAGAGACTCTGTTTCCAGAAACAAATCAAAAGAGAATTTGAAATACACGCATGAAGATGGTTTAACAAAAGGAATTCTTTAGGGGCTTTTGGGAATTTGCGCAGAGTAGATTAAAAAAGGGGAAAAAATTAGGGTTTCTTTTTTATTTTGTTTGTTTGGCGGATTGGTGGAAGATATATTTTTAGGTTTCTTTTGATTTAGGGAAAAAAAACAGGGAAAGAAAAGAGATCGAATCATAGGGCAACCTTTGTATTTGTCGAATGACGAAACTAGCCCTTATGGATCGACAAGATTTTGTGTTTATCTAATGAGTAATATATTTTTATTATTTTCTTTTGGCCCCAGTTCTTTTTAGGTTTTTGCTAGAAAACCCTTCTATTTGGGAACTTATTAAATTATAAATTCTAATTTAATCCTTCCTGTAATGTAAGCAACTTCAAGGTTAAAATTTCTTTTTTAGAACTATATCATTGCAAATTGTGTCTTGCAAATTATAACTGGAAACTTTTAATAAAATAAATTTACCTATATAAAAAATTTAGAAGAACTAAATGATGTCTAATATGTTGATTGTAAAAATCCTTTTTTATTTTCTAAAATGGTTTCAACAAAGAAGAGTATTAAGAAAGTTCAAACTACAAGCAATCTAGAAATATAACACACCATATTTCAAATAGATTACTTACATGAAGATCAAATTTGTTATTGCTTAATATTAGATTTTATCATAATACTTCAATTTTATGAATTTTATCATTATACTTTCAATTTCATTGATTTTTGGATTAAAAAAGTGGAAATTCTCATCAATTTAGATATTTTTTACAAAAAAATAAAATAAAATAAAAAGTACAATGATAAAATTCAATAAAATTGAATCAAAATATAAAATTCAATATTAATTCATAATATAATGACACATTTGACCTTAATCCTTGAGTTATTTTAATCATTTTTAGGTCATATGTTTCAATGAATTTCTACTCAAAAAAGCAATAGTTTTCTCCCTTTTAATTAAAAAAAATATATGGTGTCATATATAAACTTGATTTAAGTTCAAGATAATTTTATTTTTATCATTTAGGCTCTAATAAAGCAAAAAAAAAAAACTTCTTGTCCTATCAATAAGTGATATATAAAATTATAATTAGATATTTAAATGATAACATATCTTTAGTTATAATAACATAGCTTAAATGCCGATATTTTTTCTATTGGTTATTTTCAAACTCATTCTAGCTATAGAAGCCTTAATGTATTGTGCTATCTTTTAATTTAATTGATATATTTTTTCTAAAAAAATGCACTTCATACAGTGCTTGAAGAATTACAAGTAAAGATTGATTTTGCATTTGAAAATTGTAAATAAAATGAACATAAATTTTAATTTAATTAATTTATATAATTATTTAATAAATTTTAATAATTTTTTAATTTAAATTTTAATACCTATAATTTATTTTATATTATCGGATGACCTCCTTTTACCAAAAATAAATTTATCATAAAAATTTGGAGGGTGACAATTATTGCAATAAAAAAACATACAAGGACTTCTTTGCAAAAATCTACCGAACTCCACCTGTAGCAGAAAATTAAAGAACTCCACTATTGTAGGGGCATTCTCGTCCAATGAAGAAGTTAGGAGGGTAAACCTATCTTAATTCCATGCTCCTCCTTTCGTTTTCTGCTTATTATTTTTGAAACTCGTGAATTTTCGCGGCTGAGCCAATTAACGTTTTTGAGCAATCAGATTTCTCCAAATAGCACAAAAATGGAAAGACACTTAGGCCCGCAGGCCTTTACAGCGCGTGATTTCACATCATTGCTCGTGGAGCCAGCTTAGTCCCTCGACAGCTTGGCCTCCTGCTGCCTTCGGCTGGAAGGAATTACGTGCCCTTTTATTGTAATGCGTGGCAGGGAAGGGTCTTCTAAGCTCATTAAGGTGGCGCGTGAGAAAACCATGGATTTTGCGAATGCATATGTTGGGGGATAATGGTAACGGTAATAACGTCGAACGACATAATTTTTTTTTTGGTAAAAATGAGAATTTCTTATAATGGTGGCGGGAAAAGAAAATGGGATGCCACGTGGCTATTAATATTATAGCCGTTATTGGATTTAAAAGTTTGAAATTATGTACCATCGTGGATAAGTACATTTTTTATTCTGGTATAAATAAAGTATAATTGTGTTCATGCAAAATTTAATTAATTAATTTATAAAATTTTATAAAATAATAATTTTAAATTTTAATACGTATAATTTTTTTTATTATCTAATTATGATATTTTTAGATTTCATTTTGTGTAAATTTAAATATTTTACGAGTATATAAATTTTTTATGTAAATTTGGGACAGAAAGAATTTAAGTCAATCTAGGGCCTTCCTTAACTAATGGAATTTTATGCAAGAAACGAAATGGAGAAACCAACCTTCGAGCCTATATCCTTGTAGTTTCAAAGTTGTTGTTATATGTCCAAGTCAAATCCTTTTCTGCATGGAGGACATTTGTGTAGGCCTCATGTTCAGGTTCAAGTGAACCCAAATTTTAAGAAGGCTATTCACTTAATTATGGTTTTGCTGTGAGATATCGTAGCTAGGAGAGATACAAAAAGTTGTGCAGGAAAATAATACTTTAGGGTTTGCTCACTAGTAATTTGTATTTGCATGCAGCAATAAGTGGGTAAATCAATTCTAGAACTAAAAGAATTCACAAAGAACATAAAGAAAAAAAAATCCCATTCTTACAAACATTTTGTAGTTTCAAGTACAAAAATCCCATCAAAGTATGCATATCTAATAAACAAGAACATTTGTCTTGGTTCCTGCCTCAGAGCCACCACACCTTGATAGTTTTGAGAACCAGCAAAGTAAGCTCCATTTGGATGGGCCTTTCACTGCACTGCCCGTTCAAATGGAGCCTCAGTATGGCTATAGTTTTACTTGGGCTTACGTGAAGAAAATAGTGGGGTTTGAGTAAAAGTTTTAGGTTCAAAACAGATATTGTTCGTGTTGCGAGAGGGTTTTATCTCCACGACCACAGTACAATATGACCAAACTAATTTCTTGTTTTATGTCGTCGCAACGAGTAGAGTTGAGATCGGATTGGAATATAAGAGATTTTTGTTCGTCCGATATGATTTTATATAATAAATATTTGAATTCAAATTAATATTAAAATATTATTTTTTATATTCGATTGATTCATTTATTTATAAAATTATAATCAATTTTAATTTGATTTGAAATTAATAAAATATTATTTTTAAATATAAATATAAATTTAAATAAATAATAAAATATATTTTATATATACTAAGTTGGAGCGAGACAAATTTGCTTAAAATTGATCTCAACCTTTTTCAAAAAAATTCGACTCAACTTAAAATCTGGTTTAAAAGAAAAAAAAATTCAACCCTATAACATCAGTTGAGCCAGAACCTAACGAATTTGAGTTGGATTGCCTACCCTAATCACGAGGCTCTTTTGGGCTTGGCTCAAAATATAGTTTTCAGCAGAGGAGCTAGAAACAGATAGAAACATGTTGATTAAAAATATTATTGGTAAGACAATCAGAATATTCCTGATTTTATGCAGGATCACAGACTTGAAGCCTGCTCCTCCACTTTCTGTTGTCTGATCATTTAGCAATGTTCGAAGGAATTGATCAGATCCAATATCTTAGATAGTCAGCTGTCTTTGTCTAATATATCAACAATTTTTTGGAAAAGGTTTAAACCAGCAAAGTCAGAGCAGCTCATTTTCTAATTAACAGAGAGACCATTTATGTTGTATGCACGATGCCTTTCTGCTTCCCTTTAGGCTCATGCTTCAGGGTTCAGTTAGCAAGGGCAGACAATGGATGCTTATTTGCTTGCTTTCATTGTCTTGAGATCAGTTACACTTATCAAGTGATACAGGATCGGTGCCGCCTTGGGGGCTATAACACAGATATGTATATCAAGTATTTTTTCTATGTTTTAATTACTTATAATTAAGTAATTCGATGTGGATCAAAAACTGTAAGTATGGTCGTATCTGTGAAATCATGATCGAAGTCTAAAAAATATACCACATTAAAATAATGGAATAATTTTGTGCATGTGCAGTATTTGCAATTTTTTGTGTTTCGGAGGTTGCATGGGGTTCGTGTTCTCAGCCATGTCCCATTAGCACAATGGAGCTACTAGTAATAACAATAAACTAAATAGAAAGATAAGAACATTGGAGGACTAAAGGCCTAACTTTAATCAGCAATCAATTAAACGATCTTGAATCTGAAATATCAGATAAACTAACTAAAGGTCTAAGTTTAATCTGCAATCAATAAAACGATCTGGATTCTGAAATTTCAGATAAACTATCATTTTTTTGTGGTGATTGCGCCTTCCTTGTTAAATTCTGATTATCCAGGAATTATAGAACCAAAATCACAAATCCAAAGCACACTAATCATTGCTTATTTCATGCAAAATGCACAAAGAAAATGTTTGACACGAAAAGGAAAAAAACAGAGAAAAAGTAATACAAAGATTACCAAAACAAAAAACTAGCTCCTGGCCATGCTGCAGAAATACTTCATAACTTTTTCTTAATGATCTAATCACATAACGCAAAGAGAAGTGAAAGTGCCAAAGGATTGAAGTTGCCCTGTGGGAGAAACCAGCCCTTCAGTGAAATCTGATTGCAATTCAAAAACCCAGTTTCTTCCATCACACGAAGTGAAGAAATAAGAGATCTTCAACTGAAAGTGCATGCCAAAGGGTTATAGTTGCCCTGTGGGGGAAAGGCCCCTCGAGGAGGTAGAATTCAACCAACCCCATTTCCCCCAGCATATTAAATTCATACCTTCGATATTACTCTGCCAACTCCCACCATGCTGAAAAGACCCACTAAACCCTTGCTGTTGCCACGTTTGTTGGGTTCTGGCATGGTGGGGGTGGCACCCTGACTAAGTGAAATGACTAGGAATCCTGAAATAGCTCGTAAGTTATAATCCTGTATGGCTTCTAGCTTGCTGAGGATGATATATGTGAGGACAGCTTTATAAAAGATAGAAACAATGTGATTGTTTTAATTGTGGGTTTCTTCTCCATGTGGTTCACCAAGTGAAATAACAGAATCTTCCAAGGGATATGCGGCGACCAACTTGCTCCACATTCGGTGACCACAACTTTAGCCCTTTATTATATTATCCTTTTGCATCTTTTCTTTTCCCTGCCTTAACCAATAAAATATTACTATGCTTCAACTTTGAAACCCTCCCACGCGCTACACGCCTTGTTCGATCAAATTCATCTTGCTTATGAAAAGGACATGATGAACGTGTCAGGTGCATGTAGCGCGTGGTTTTTAACTTCTTAACATGCTTGGCCTCAAAATACTTTGCTTGGATTTGGATTTTACTTTGTTTCCATTAGTTCTTTAGCTAAAGCATATATATTGTTTTTCATTGTTATTGCAAAAGGTGGAGGAAAGGGAAGATGCCAAGTAAAAGTTCCATCCAATTGATGGTGTAATGCTCAATTTTTAAAGTTAAGCAGATTTTGATATGTAATGTGAAGATCAGCAGAAAAGGGAATGAACAAGAACATTGGAGTGAGAAAGGGAAAATGATGATATCTAACTCCTTTGTTTAGTTTCAATGTGGACTAATCTGGTAAAAAAGTGCAGACTGTGGTGACATTTGATGAAATTTAGTTGTTTAATAGGTATGCTTTTGTCTACTTAAATTTAATAGCACCAAACGAGAATGGAATCAAATTCAACAACCTGTCAAGCCACAGCATTAATAGCATGGAGTGTGTATCAAGTTTCAGTGCTTCATGAAATGAGTTTATCCTCCTATCAATAACAAAGTTGCAGTGAAGGGAATTACTTAGATGTGAAGCAAGAACCATTAAAGAAAGTCAGATTAAGAACTTTAAGTTTGCCTGAAAGATCGGTTCAGATACCAAAAAGAGTAAGCCACCAGGATCAAACTCTGTCTCAAGATTCATAATCTTGAAGATGTCAGCTTATCAGTTCATTAGTTCCGATGTTACTTCGAATATATGTGGCATACATGATACACTAATTACAGATTCCATTCCAGGAACTTGCGATGTTTAAATAGTGGATTGGTATTTCTTGGATATAAAGCAAAGGACCAGCAAGTGAAAACCAAATCTTTATGCATATCCTTATGAGCTTTAGTCATATCCTTGATTGAATTGGTAATGTTCAAGCTAATACCTTTGTTCAATGCACCCCCAACTTGAGTTCAAATATAGCAAACTATATTTTTTGCCTTGATTGCTTCATTTTTTTCTTAATTAGCCCAATGACGTAGTTGAAATAGTATAGTAATAATTAAACCTAATCTAGGTAATCTTTTCACTTGAAGAAAAACCAGAAAAGTGAGGGTCAATGCAGCAAAAATATAAGGTTGGCCCAAGGATTTAAGTGTTGAACTTTTGGATTGAAGCAATGTCTTTAAGCTCTCAAAAATTTAGCTCCTCCAGCAATGTCTGCCAAGTACCAACTGATATCAAGTAGAGCCTATGATAAGACTTAGAGCTCTAGTCGGTGAAGCTTCTAAACATCAGCAATTAGATTTCCTACTTTTCACTTTTTTGTTTTTGGTGGGGAAAAATTATAATCATTTATATCTGTTAGAAGCAAAGCCAGTTAAGACGTGCATTTGGTATCAATTGATACTCTATGTAAAAGCATATTCTTCCACTTCATTGTTGGTCCAAACAAAGCAAAGTTAAAAATTGGGATTAGCACTGAAGGCTGCACCCAGCTTGGCCTAGGGAGTAAGTTGCAGCAATGAATCTTACAACATTTGAACCAGAAGAAAGGAACAGAACATGAATCTTTTAGATGTCTTGAGTTTCATTCAAGAAACCTTAAAGTCCCTCAAAGGAAATGACAAAGCAAAAGCAAATTAAAGAACAAAGACAACATTTCTCGTCTATATATAAGTTCATACTTTTTACCCTGTATAAAACAGCATTCAACATTCTGGTTTCAGAGTTCAGATCATAGCATTGTCCCTCAAAAATGGCTAGTAATACAGCACAAGCTACACAACAGCCAGCAAGACATTTTAACCTAGTAAGATGTGTTACCACTTGCTTACTAGGCCTTATTGTTCTTGTCGGTCTAGCGGTGCTGATCATTTGGCTAGTCATTAGGCCACAAAAGTTGGTTTACACCCTTGTAAATGGTTCGATCCAAGATTTCAACCTAACCAATAACCATCTCAATGCCACATTAGATTTTGTTCTAATGGCATATAATCCTAACAGCAAAGTCTCTGTCTACTACGATTACATTAGGTCCTCAGTTACATACGGTGATCAAACTCTCGCGTTCAATACGATTGATCCCTTCTTTCAACCTCATAGAAATACGAGTCGAGTAGAATCGAAGCTCGTGGCTCTGGACTTGGCATTGTCACCATCAGCATTTAAGCAACTCAGGGTCGAAAAATCATCCGGGGAGATTGAAGTTGACGTTCATTTCAAGTCAAAGATTCGATTTAAGGTAGGAATATGGAAGTCTAATCATCGCACTCTAAGGATTGTGTGTTCATCAGTGACACTGCACTTTTCTTGGTACAAACATTTTGAGGTGATACCATGTGAAGAAGAACTTTAAAGAACTTTAGTTTAGAGTGATTTTTTAGAACAAGGATTTTTTTTTCCTTATGTTTTTATTTGTGTTTTCCTATTCTCTTTTACATGGCTGAATTGGTGTCTTGGTGTTGCCACTTTGTCTCCTCCGTGCTATTCTTATCGTGTTCTCTTTCGATTAATCTGTTGTGAAAATTGTTTTTGTTCTTTTTACCTGCTATCATAAAACTTTGACTATGTATAAAAAATCAATGTATAATCGGTGTTCACCTTGTCTTTATATATTCGAGACCGTTAGGATTGAAACTGATCACTGAAATTAAGAGTCCAGCACCAATCATTAAGTTAAATGCTCGTATGCTATCAGCATGACTTCTCAATTCTCTGTTTTATTGTTAAAAAAAAAAAAAAAAACTGATTTGCATGAGAATGACTATTTGGTTATAATGAGAAAGCATATAATTGCTGATAAACTATCAAAAAGCACCGGAGCAAGACAAGATATGCCCACTTTTTTGACAAAAGCCTCCCCCGAGAAAGAGGGTATGCCGTATGCTTCAATTTTTTGTGGTGTTGGCTCTCTTATGCAAGGCATAAGTTTAACACGAGGAAAAATGACCAAACCCCATTTTTCTGTTTGGGGCCCTACCATTATAAAACTTGCAAGATGCGAAATTTAGTAAAGGCCATGTGCCCTTAAAGCTGCCAGTGCTGATAATGAAACTTGAGTGCATGTCTGGCTAGACACCTCCCCCAAAATTTGACCATTTCTGCATGGTATATTGCTAAGATAAGGAAAGGGTTAATGTTATTAGGAACTGCAATCCAATCCGTCTCGACGGATTTTGATCCGACTCTATGAGATTGATTTTTTTTTTTTTAATTTAAGTTTTGGATCGAGTAAGGATAGAAAATAATCGAGGTCAGGTTGGGGTCGGGTTACCCGATATTATATAAAAAATTATTTTTTAATTAAATATTTAATTAATTATTTATATAATGATATTTTTAAATATTTATATTTAAAAAATAATATTTTATTAATTTCAAGTCGGATCGGATACGATTTATATAGTATCAAATCAGGGTCAAATTCGGGTATAAAAAAATAAAAAAAAATCAGGTAGGATCGGATTCGAGTTTAATGACGCATAAAGTCAGGTGAGGTTCGGGGCGAACAAAATCCACCCTGAACCCAACTCGATGTCAACCCTAAATGTTATTGATTACTCTTAATTATAATAAAATATTTAATATGATATTTAAATTTTAAAAATTTCAAATATAATATTTGAATTATAAATCTGTTAATTAATATGTTACTTGTTTTTAACATGATTGACTTCAAACAATGATAAGTAACTAACAAACAATAATTAAAGTATTACATTAATTAACAGATTAATAATTTAGTTATTACATTAGAGTTTTTAAAATTCAAGTATTAAATTAAACATTTCTTTATAATTAAAAGATCGTTACAAAGTTCATTAATAGACAGTAAGAACTGAAAGACAGATAACCTAACACTCTTAACTTATCATTTCATCTTTGCCTTTGTTCGTTAATAATCGTAAATACAAAAAGTAAATCTTTCTTAGAATATACTATATTTCTAAAATTGCCATTGTGATTTTTTCAAATGAACAAACAAACTAACAATATCTAGTCCAATAATTCAAACTTTACAAGCGTTTTTGGGTGCATTAAAGTTCAAATTAGTAATTGTTTTATAAGATTGAAATTCATCAAAACAGTATCATATGTCAACATATATGTATGTGCATTTAATTGAACATTTAAGTTGATATATAAAACATTGACTTGGCATCGTTTTGAACATTTTTCTTTGGTATAAACAATTTAAAACTTAAAAATTAAAGTTGATTTTGCAAGCACCAAACCAAATCTACAAGTTATTTAGCCATTTTTATTACAAAATGAGAAATTCACAAATAGTCTTTAATATCTTATCATAATCTCATCTTTTTATTTTCATGATTTGAATTTAAATTTTTCAAATTGACATCAATATTGATAGTTAATAAGTAGATATTTTCTTGAAAACATATGCTATTGTTAGTCTTTTCGGTACATGTATCATATTCATCAATAAAATAAAGAAATGTCACATTGTAGTATATAATAAATAATGAAGCCGTGGGAAATATCATAGATTTTATTATATAGTGGATGGGCTTTTCACGTGACATTTGGGGAAGATTCATGTTCATATATGGGCAAGGAAACATGATCTTTTTGGGCACCTGAGGACCCATCCCTGCATTTTGCAAGGAAATAATGTGCCATTAAGAGAGACACAAGCTGTTGGGTTTACCTAAAAAGGGTGCCTCACAGTCATTTGCATTTGATCCCCTAATATCTACTAAAACAAGGGTCATTCATTATTCACTTGATGACAATATATATTAAAATTTTTTCTTTCTATTTATTTATTATTATTATTATAATCCAATCATAAAATAACACTTGCCACATAATAAGAATTTTGCATTGTGCGTTCAAATAAGCTTAAATGAATTCAAGAGACCATGTGATTTAATTAGGGTCGGTAATCAAATTCGTTCTCGATGGGTTTTGATTCGATTCGATCTGATCTTACGAGGTCGTTTTTTTTTTTTTTAATTTGAGTTTCGGGTCGAATAAGGATAGAAAACAATTGGGGTCGAATCGAGTGTGGATTTTAGACAAATTCGACCTGACCCGACATTATATAAAAAAATTATTTTTTAATTAATTAATTAATTAAATATATTTATATAATGATATTTTTAAATATTTATATTTTAAAAAATAATATTTTATTAATTTTACGTCGATCGGGTATAATTTATATAGTATCGGATCAAGGTCGGATTCAAATATAAAAAAAATAAAAAAAAATTCGGATAAGATCGAATTCGGGTTTAATAACACATAAAGTCGGATCGGGTTCGAAGTGAACAAAACCCGTCCCGAATTCGACCCGATGATAATCCTAGATTTAATTATAGCATGTATCGGTGCTTAATTATTATTATAATAAAATAATTATTAAAAAAATTAGTATTATGATCATAACTTAAAATCCAATTTCTTTTAAATTTTAGTTGGAGGTGGGTGCTTTTTCACTTATGTGGATTATTCTTGAGTAACGATGATTGTCCCTGAAAGTGGATGGATGCTAGCCAAAAAGCAGTCATCAACACCTTAATCAGTTTAAGTGTGCGATTTTGAGCTAACATATCGACATCATAATAATCTTAATAATAATTGCATGCTCACAATCACAACCATCATCATTAAACAATATACAAATTGAGCACTACCGACATTTTTGCCAAATTTATTGGATAATGATCCGTTCACTGTAAATTGTAAAGATGTAAAATTTTCTTCAATTTTTCTTTTTTAACACGGTTGGGTATCCTTAGATTTTTGTTGTCGTGACCTAATTATTTTTTGAACAATTTTAAAGATTTATTTTTTTACATTAATTTGATATATTTAAAAATTTTTTTTTAGACTACTTTCACAATAACTGAACTCAGATTGATAAAAAAAAAAAAAAAAAACTTTTTCCTATTAATCGAGTTAATTAAATAAGGATAGATAAATACAAGAACACTTGAGTTAGATTTGATAAAATGGGAAGCAATATTGGTTAACAGTTAATATATTAATTAATTAGTCTGAGCCATTCATTTTGGATAAAATGAATGTTACTTTGTTTGATGGATTAAATAACCAAAAAAAAAAAAAAATCTAATATATAGAGCCAATTAATGGAATAAAACAAAACAAGCATTATTTTTGTAATTATGTTGAGATATTTGAAGGTTATAGGATTTTTAAATCAAATTAAATAATTTTTTTTAAATCAATTTTGTTAATAAACTAAAATGAATTTAATAATTGGATCGATTAATCTGATTTAAATCCAAATATAAACAATGAAATTCTTTTGAATTGTCGTAAATACCATAAGATTACCGTTCCCCTTTGTTAGTTAAAATTCCGTCGTTGCCCTTCTCCTATTTTTTATTTGAAATTTCAACCCTAGCCGGGAAGAAAGGGAGAGGCGAGAGGGAGGGGGAATTCCAAAATCACGAAAAATACGCCGCGTCGTTTTCTACACTTCCCGTTAAATCCAAGATTTGGAAACTTTAAATATCAACGGTCAACACCACGCGAAGGGCTAATCCACGCGTCAATCACCTATTGGTCTTCTTCTCCCCCATATTCTAAGGCGTTAGTGTAACGGCAATATTTAACATGCATCCATCAAACCGTAAAAAGTTCAAAAAAAAAAACAAGACGTAGTCTCTTTTTTCATTTATTACCCATAAAATCTCTTGTTCCCTCTCTCTCTCCTCTCTTGTATTTCTCTCTTTTTTCTCTTCACAATTTCTCTTTCTTTCTCTCTCTCTCTTTAGGTTCCGTTTCCATCGACTTCGAAATCAAAGAGCTCAAGCTTTCTCGGTTCATTTTTTTTCTTTTTCTTTCTCTCTTTTTTTAAAAAAAGATTCTCCGCTCTTCAAACGGTGCCTTTTTTTGGTTTGTTGTTGTTTCAATCTTCGTTTTTTTTTTTTTTTAATGTGGATTTGGTAATGTTGGTAACCTTTATCGTGTTTGGTTGATGAGAAATGTGAGGAGAGGAAAAGAAAATTAAATTTGAATTTTTAAGAAATTTTAAAAGCTTAATTCGATTTGTATTTTCAAGATATTTGTTTGAGAGAGACTTTAAAAATTAAGATTTGGATTTTTTTATGTTTCTACATTTTCTCAGCCGCCAAACAAGGGATTAATCCGATAAATCAATTCTGATTACTGTTTTTGTGCGTGTTTGGTGGAGGTGGTTGTTAATAGTTTGCAGAATTCTTTAATTCTATTTGTCTCCTTGTTTTGTCACGGTGAAACGTGACAGTGAGGAAATTGAATTTCAAGAGTCTTACAATTTGTTTATGGAAATAAATTAGAAAAAAACTGAGATTCTTAGTAGTTGTTGCAGAGTTCTTGAAGATTTAGCGTGTTTTATTACCGTCATCCTGTGTGTTTGCTCTGAAGATTGATAATGCTGATGACCATGATGGCCTTGCTAATGCCGGTAAATGATGATGAAGAGGGGATTTACGAGTTTTAGGTGTGATTGATTTTTTGAAAGGGGGTTTTCTGCTACATAGTATATATATTATATATTTTTTGTAAATAAATGCGGATTTCCATGCATTCAAGCAGATGGGTTTAAAGGGTTTGATAGTATAGATTTTGGGGTAATATGGCTATTGCTGGTCTACACAATGTTTCTATGCTTGAAAATCCTTTCCTAAGGGAGTCTCAGTCTCAAGCATCAAGAAGGCGGGACAATGGTAACACCCGGGCATCCTCACTCCTGCAAATGTGGCGGGGGCTTGAGGACGAGCATGTGGTGAGTCATGCTCAAGAGAGAGCTAGTGAAAGAATGCTCCAACAAAGAAGTGATGACCTCTCTATGAATGATCTTTCTGATAGCCGAAATAGTGAACATAGCGGTGTTTCAGAGGATGTGAGTGTGAGTGAGAATGTGATTGGACAATGGTCCCCAGGCCGATTTGGGTCGCAAAGCGAAAATGAGGATTCAAGTAATTTTAGTTATGAGCATTTGTCTTATTTGGGGGAAGTTGAAAGGGAAAGAGTAAGGCAAATTTTTCGGGGGTGGAAGAACAGTGGTGGCAGGGAACGTACATCCAATGTTTCCTGTAGAAACAACAGTTCCAGAGCCCAGTGGCTTGGTGAAACTGAACAGGAGAGAGTCAGAATTATAAGGAAGTGGGTGCAAATGAATAGCCAGCAGAGAGGTGCTTCTGGTGACAATAGAATAGATCAAGCTGCTGATGTTGGTGGTCAAATTGAACGAGTTCTCGATGGATTGGTGGTTAACCAGAATGAAGGCCAGACTGCGCTTGTGCATAGGGGCATCCGGAAATTATGTGGCCGACAGGTCCTGCTTGATATGCTTAAAAAGGCCGAGAGAGAAAGGCAAACAGAGCTTCAGGGGTTGTTAGAGCATCAGGCTGTATCAAATTTTGCCCACCGCAACCGCATTCAGGTGGATGCATAAAAAGTCTTGCCATTTTTCTTTGCCGGCTATTGTCATTATTTGTTCACATTTTGTGCATATTCTTGCAAAATTTCAAACAAAAAGAAAGACAAAAAAAAAAAAAATTAAGGTAGATCATAATTTGGTAGTTTTGGTCTATTTCTCATCAGTAACTGAGCTGCTTTTTGCATAATTTTGAGAGCTATTGGACTCGTCTCAAGCACAAAGGTATACTGTACTGCATGGGACTGTCAATTGCCTCGATTGTCCTGGTGGCTTAAAAGTAATTTTTTTAAGTGTAATACATGCTTTAACAATATTATTGGATGTGTAATTATTGATTTATACTTATACGTTAAAGTTCTTGAAGATAACTTCATTGCACTTATGACATGTATATGAAAAAGAGAAAGTCCATACGTCATACTAACCAGGATAGGTTTTGAATGAAAAAAAAAAAGAATAATTTTGAACCAAGAGAAGAATTCTGATTTTATGTCAAGGTAGGAAATGCTAACATGTCTGTCTCAATTACTTGCCTTTTATCTTCTTATAATTGTTGATGTTACTGTTGTTAGCTTTTAGCTTGTTCTGGAAATTAAATAGTTCATAGAGTTATAACTCTGAAGAGCAATTTGTCTCCCTCTTCGCTGTTGCCATTGGCTGCTAAAAGGCTGTTTGAAATTTTTAAAAATATTTATGGATCTTCTATGCATGTCATTTGTCCATAGGCAACTGTAGCTTAACTTAGCTTGGCATTGGTATCTTTAAATCAACTGGCTTAAAGTGTCCCAGTGTTCATTTTTAACTTTTTAGGAACTTTACCATCTTGATTTTTACATTACTAAACATGGTATGGTTTTAGTTTTACTATCATTCATTTATTTCTGTATGTCTTCCTTGTTTCATTTTTTTGCAGTCATTATTGAGAGGTAGATTCTTGAGAAATGACAGAATGGTTGAAGGTGACAGATCTACCTCTATTGCAGCCAGTGAATTAGGCATATTAAGACAAAAACAGACTGTATCTGGTATAAGGTACTTCATTCTTTATTTCATATACAAAGTAAAGGGTTTTTTATTCTTCAAAGTTCATCTTATGCCATATTTGGAGAGAATTCTACTCTTTTTGCTTTCTGTGTTTTCTGTAAGCATCTTTAATTGCATGGAACTTAATTTGAGAAAAACTTTAAGGGGAACTTGTACTTTTTAGTAAATTGCGCTGTCAGTTTGTCAACCAGTGCAATGTGGTTTCAATCTTATTACTTCTATATGCACCTCACTCTTCACGAAAACCCAAAGTTGCTTTGAGATTCTTGAATTTAAAACAAGGGTTTTAGACTCAAATTTAGTGTGGATATTTTCACAGAAGCTTAGAAGTAATTCCCCTTCCAGTGATTTAACTCAAATAATGCACCCTGATTCTGGCCGGCAAGAAAGAAACTTTTGGTAACATTCAAGCTGTGGAAATTAGTAATACTATATGTGAATGTTTTGAACTATAGGATAAAGAGTTTGATTTTGTCAATGTTGTACTTTGGGCATGTCTTCAGTCCGTTATACAAGTGCCCCTATCAAGAATTTTAGTATCTTAAGATATGAAGCATTGATATGGCTGCTTGATTATGGCCCGGAGATCTTGGTTTCAACTTTCAGCAGGGTAACGCCACCTGCATCTCCCCTTCCCAGACCCTGCAATGCCTGAACCTCATGTTCTGGGCTTACCTTTTTCAAACATCATATTTACATAGCAGAATGCCTAAGTGCAGATGCAATAAGGATAAAAAAAAAGATTTCGAAATTAAGCATCACAGCTAGAAATACTGGACCACATCCTGGTACTGCAAATTCAGACATGATTGGTTGATTGGTTGGTCTGAACCTTGGACCTTTTACACTCATTTTGCAATTTAGCTTGTGTACTAGACTTCAGAGTCCAGAGGGCGAGTCTCCCAACTCCAGGGAACTGGGAACTTGACAAATCTTTGGAGTGTATAAACATTCTTCATCTGATTTAACTATTATTTTGTGTAGATGAGGCACAATTGCCTTACAGGGGAGGTCCCTTAGAAATGATAAAATGATAGGGGTTGAATTGTAGATTACACTTTATATTGGTGTTTTTCAGCCAATCATTTTATCGATTGTTGGAGTTAGTATTGCCCTTCTAATTATTATCATGGCTTGCTACTAATACGAGGATGTTCTGCCAATGAGAGGTGTTTTTGAGCCAAAATGCAATTTTCTGCTTGTCTTAACTTGTTTTCTCTGAAATAGCTTGACTAGACTTGCTTGGTGGACTTTTTGGATACTTGATTATACGAAATTCAAGGGTTGTCAGGGTTGTATTTGATAATAAGTTTCCAATCCCTTGTCCATTTTATTTTTATGATGTCATTTTCACCATTTGGTGGTAACATTTTTGCAATCTGTGCCCTTGTATTAGGGAAGGCTTTTTCTCCAGACTGGATAATTCTGGTTGTGGTACTGCAAGCAGTAACTGTTCTGATACATTGTCTAACGCTGACACTAATGGTAATAGAAATGAACAAAACCAAGTAAATAATTTACATGAAGTCATAGATGGATTAAATGATCGATCTGAATGTGAGAACGAGGAAACTGATAACCAAAGGTTTTTGGATGGTAGAACTGATTTAGAGGCTGATGATGTTGGAGACGTAAGTTGGCAAGAAATTTCTGCTTGTATAGAAGATTGGCAGGGACAAGCTTCTGAGAGTGTGGTTAGAGACTGGCAGTGGTCAGCCAGCGTTGAGTCTAATGAGAGCAGAGATGTTATTGGACAAGTCTTGGATGGGGACTGGCAAGAAAATCTTGCTAATGACTTGTCCCTTGAAACTTTACAGAATGAAGCTGGAGAACATAGTAATCTACAAGAAGCTGGTGAAGCATTTTATGAACATTCTCCCCTAGATGGTGAGAGAAGTGGGACCTATGGGTTAATGAATGTCATAGAAAATTCAGACAGGAATCCAGTTGAATATATTGATGGGCAAGAATCTGCTTCTCAAGTTGAACAATGGCAGGAAGAGGATCAGGAAAATGAGGATACAGACTGGCAGGAAGCCAGTGTTGAGTATAACGAGATGATGGATGGTGGCAATGAAGAAACCTCTGACATGCACCATGAGGATGGTGGGAATGAAGATGGAGGTTATGGTCATCTGCGAGAAGCCCTTGACACGCAAGATGAGGATGGTGGCTTGCACGAGACTACACGGAATTGGTTGGAAGGGTCTTACAATCGAGAACCTGTTATGATTGGAAGGCCAGACACATTTTATTTTCCTGAGAATGATAATGTACACAGTACAGAACTGAGGGAACTGTTAAGCAGGTGTGAATTCTATAACTGTTGGGCTTTGTAATTAGATTTTTAATCAGTATTTTTCTAATCTAAGTTATTTTTAATATTGTAGGAGAAGTGTGTCTACTCTTCTTAATAGTGGTTTCCGTGAGAGTCTTGACCAGTTGGTACAGTCATATGTGGAAAGGCAGAATCATGCGGCTATTGACTGGGAGCTAAATGAAACATCTCTTACTCCATCACTTGAACAAGATCTAGATCAGCGAAGCAGAGATCAGAATGAGGGTCAGGGAGATGCTGAGAATCCTCCAGTTGCTCTTCCTTCACCCAGGATGCCACCTACGCAGCTACTTTGGGACCAGGATTTACTCCATTATAGTTGGGCACCACATAATGTGCATCAACAATTTGGCATTGTATGTCCATCTTTTTTTCTTGCTTGCAACTTGATAATTGTTCTTGATTATCTTTTGAAAAGTTGATTAGTCTACTATCCTAGTTTTTTAATAGATACTTCTGACCAAATCCAATATTTTCCTGAAAGTATATTATTTCTTTTATTTGTTATATTATTAATAAAAACTATTATTTGATATTGCTAACATAATGATCTCATGATAATTGTGCATTAATGATCTAATGATAATTGCGCATTCTTGGTGAAACTTAATGTTAGGCTTCAACAAGCTAGCTGAATTAATGAAGTCAGTGAACCTATATAAATAATTTATGTTTTTGGAAAGTCAGACTGTAATATGCTTCCTCTTACTTTTGGATAGCCAAGCTACAAAATACTTCCTGCTATCTTTGGTTAGTGAAACAGTTCTGGTTCTTTATTGCTTCATTTGCAGTTCACTTGATTCCAGTATTTAGTAGCTAACTAATATTTTGGGGGGTGAGGGGGGGGTGTAGAGCTTAAAGATGTTTGACTACTATTTGTTTGGTCACCATTTTAATTGAGTTGCACTGCTAATTTGCCGCAGCAGTGGGAGATCATTAATGATTTGAGGGTTGACATGGCTAGACTGCAGCAAAGGATGAATAGCATGCAGAGGATGCTGGAGGCCTGCATGGATATGCAACTTGAGTTACAGCGGTCGATAAGACAAGAAGTTTCTGCAGCCCTGAACCATTCAGATGGTTCACAAGGTTTGCTTCTTCTTTTCTAGCACATCTGCTCACTTGTGTAATATTTACTTAAGGGTTATTTTGGGAAAGTGAATACCTCCTTATCTTTCTCTCTCTCAAGGGTTATTCTGGGAAGTGAATCCCCCCATATTCTTTCTCTCTCTCTCTCTCTCTCTCAAGAGTTCTATTTCTCCTTATTACTGTCATAATCCACAAGAGGCTCTACTTGTCCTGATTTACTCCCATTTATAATTTAAGGGATCGAGAGAAAGAAAATGCTGACAATGGGAATAAACTATTGATTTTTATTGTCCTAACTATATGGTTTTCTTTGTCCTATAGTGAAGCTGAAAGTTTTATCATTCTGGGATTTGTTCGTAATATTTGCTCGTTCTTTTTTGTTCTATTAATCATCATGTTGTTCTGCTGCAGGGATGATCGATGACTGCTTGCCTAAGGGTGCGACTAACTGGGATAACGTCAGGAAAGGAATCTGTTGTATATGCTGTGAAGGCAATATTGATTCATTATTGTACAGGTAAATCTCATCAAGTTTGTCCTCCAGTTTCATACTTTGAGGCCTTTTAATTTTTTTGTTCATTTGTGTATCATATTGTTACAGATGTGGGCACATGTGCATTTGCTCCAAATGTGCCAATGATTTGGTCCAAGGTGGAGGAAAGTGTCCAATGTGTCGGGCACCAGTAATTGAGGTCATTCGTGCTTACTCAATCCTTTAACAGAAAAATCTGGATTAACAATTATAGGATCTTTCATCAGCTTTTTTGCTCCTCGATAGTTCCAGGTATCTCATTTTCCTTTTTCTCTCGTTCATTTCTTTTCTTTTTTTTTCTCCATTTTCCCCCTTCTTGGGTCCCTTGCCGTGATTTGATGTAATACAGTTCATAAATTAAGTGTACGATCGAAACAGAAAATCTCATCTTTAATTCATTATATTACTAATCCGAATAAATTCTTAACTTTAAGATTGTTAATTATATGTATGCATTTTGTGAAGGTGATGAAGAATCCTGGCTTTACTGATATTTTGCATGACTGCTAGATTCACCATTGTCACTTTTTTTTGGCCCAAAGTGTGCTTCTGGTTTTGTTGATGACATTTTCATCTGGCAATCATTGTACAAAGTCCAAAAGATCACTCAACTTTGTTCTGATTTTTGGCTCAATACAAACCATGTGCATCAAAGTCCTTTCATGAGTTGTCGGTTTCAATCGGTGTTTTAAAGTGCCACCGCTTATGGTTTCGCCAAGCTAGTTATTTCCTCTTTCTCTAGTATAGAAGAAACTAAAATTAAGAATAATTAAAGTGGATAAGTTCAAAGATTTTGGTTTCTTTTTATTCTTCAAGATTCTCTAAAATGCAATGCAAAATCACTTTCTCCACTCGACGAGAGATATGGGATGGTGGATCTTCAGAGAAACGCCGAATATAGATAGAGAAAAAGCCCATGAGAAAGGAGAGCTTTGAGGAGAACAACTATGGTAAGAGGCATGGAGGAGTCAAAAGAAAAATTTTTATTTTTTTCTCACATGAAGTGAAATACAACAAAAAAGGCTGAATTTTGATATTATATATTTGTACATAGAAGTTTAAATATACTAAACAGGTGAAAAAGATGCTAAACTCAAAAAAGTTGGATGAAAAAAAAAAAAAAAGGCTCAAGTAGAACAAGGGTTATCTGCTTTGAATGGATGCTTAATTCACATGGTGGGTTACAATTTTGTATGTTTACTTATTATTATATAGTAATTAAAATTAATTAATGATCCCAAACTTGAGGATGAGAACAAAAAAAAAAGGTGATGTGAGAAGGTAAGTGAAGTACTAGCAGAAAACATGTATCGGACAGCAGACAGCAGACGGCAAAACGAGAAACTGGGGCGTCGTTAACCACACTGGCTGCAAACTTACAAATACAACCCCCTTTTAATTATAGTACAAAACAAAATGAAAAGAGGGGACAACAGGGAACATCAAACCTAAAATCTAGTAGCATCCTAGAGCACTAATTAGCCTGTTAATTACATTACAAAGTAACATCAAACTAATTTGAACTGTTTTTCAATGTAGGAAGCATAGTTAGTGACAGCTTTACTGCCTTCTGCAACAGCATCTTTTCCAAGCTCTCCTGGCAAAACCAATTTCACTGCTTCTTGAATCTCCCTTGAAGACAGTGTCCTTCTTTCGGTGTACTTGGAGAGCTTGGTTGCCTTACCTGCGAACATGTCATTCATCAAGCTGTTGATCACTGACATTGCCTTGGAAGAAATTGCCATTCCTAGATGAACCTGCTTTAGTACCCTGAACACGTATGTCATGTACATTGCCTCTCTTTCTCTTGCCATTTTTGTTGCTCATCTCTTTCCCTTCTCGGCTCCTCATCTTCTTCTCTCTCTCTTCTCCTTCTCGGGTCTTTTCCTTCTTTTGCTCAACTTTCTTTTCTCCTTCCCCGGTCTTTTGACTTCTTTTTCGTCTTCTTTCTTTAGTGGTGGCTCTTCTAGTTCCGAAGCCTTGGGGGCCCCATTGCTTTGTTCCCGATCTTCTAATGCTTTTGGGGCTTTATTGATTGGTTCTTTCAAAGCTTTGGAGGTTTCATTGCTAGGTTCTTCTTCCAAAAATTTGGAGGCCCCATTGCTTGGTTCTTTCGCAGGAATTTGCTGCTCTTTTGGTGCTTCATCTTTCCTTGGTTCTTCGGCAGGAGATTGCTCTATCTGCTGTTCTTTTTGCACTTTGTTTTTGCCTGGAGCTTCCACTGGAACTTGAACTGTCGGGGGTTCTTTTTGTGCTTCATCTTTGCTTAACCCTTCCACCGAAATTTCAGTGATTATCCTTTCTTTTTCCTCTGCTATGTCTTCAACAGGAACCGTTTCCAACTGGTTCTTGATCACCACTGTCTCCCTTTGGTTTCTGAACTACAGCTACTTGAACAGTTTCCTGAAAATTTTTCTTCATTGAACTCACAACGACATTTGCTCGACGCTTGGGAGCCATTTTGTTGTCTGTTGTTATTTCCTTAATTTCCCCTCTAATATTCGATTCTTTTCACTTTTCCTCACATGTTGCAAATCCAATTCAAAAGTGAATAATTGATTAACATTGAAGATATATATAGCCAGTCTTAAACATGGCTAGACAGTGAAATGTTGGAGTGCAGGTGTCACTCTGTCAAATAGTTGCAGATATCAATAGCTACGTGGGGAGTAAAAGTGAAAACATTTTCCAAACTGAAATGTTCTAGTAGCGTTTAATCTTCAATTTTTGGGCAAAAGGAAGAAATCCAACTTTCAATTCAAGTTAAACTATATCTTTTCCTTTATAAGTTGAACTATTTTTGGTTCAAATATTTAGTGATCTTGATAAACACTAGAAATTTCCCCTGTAGACAGACGTTTCTGGTGCCATGCAGCTTTGGTTTCGAGCCCTTTGACGCTGTCGGTCATAACTATAACAAGTCGGTTAATGGTGTTTAAGCCTTTATTAAGCTGAAGATTTGTTCTAACAATTTTGAAAGACATGTCCCAACTGAAAAATTAAAAAAATTAATAATGCAATTTATTTGAATTTAATATTTAATTCAATTGATTTATTCGAATATTTTTAAAAATAATTTTTAAATTTTTTTATATGTAAAAAATATGCAATTCTCCGATAACATTCGCAACCCAAACTCCCCTCGATCGGCACAAATGAAAAAAATCCCTTAACAATAGAATCCTATGCCTTGAGTTTTTATGTTCCTAGGCACATATATCGTAACAAACAGAGAGGACAAAGGAAAGATTGGGAGCTTTTAGAGGAAAATGGGTTTTGATTTTTGAGTATAAACTGGATTGGCATGGTTGGCATTGGCCCCAGAAATCGAACCCAAAGTCAGGGCCAGAGTTAATTTTTTTTCCTAGTGTCCCACTAACAGTCATGTCCTTTCTCAATTCTTTGAGCACCTTGACATTCACTACCACGTGCATGTTGTGTTTTGGATAAATTTTCTCATTTAATTTATCCAAAATTCAAATTTTTTAAAAGAAAGGGCACCAATAATAGGGATTGACAATATGTGATCATGGTTCCAATGAGAATTTTCTCATCACCTGCTTATAAATTGATGGGAGATAAGAATTGGACTCAAAGTTGTGGAGTTGAAACAGTTAAGGTAGCTTTCTCATCTCATTCTCTTTTCTTTCCCCACGTGAAAATTTGTCTCAAATTCTACTAATAATATATTATTTGACTACGGCCTCCTTAATTAGTAAAAATATATATAAAAAAATGTTTTTTCTTACATTTATCCCACCAAATACGTATACTATTTGTGAAATTTAAATGCAATAAAATTTAGCCATAAATGAATAAAGGATCAGAATTTTAGTAACTTGCAAAATAGTAAAATTTGCATATGAAAAAGAAACAAGCCACCTTGAATTATAATTATTTTTTTTCTAACATATTTCTAACAAATAGTATTCCAAATTGACAGCAACCCTTTTTTTCCTGAGATAATTCAAGCTTGCTTTGATCGTCATATACATCGATCATACATGGAGAATGGTAAGACGAAGGAAATTTAATGTAGAAAATGAAGGGTAATTAGTAAGCAACTTGAAGAAAATTATGACAAGGAAAATTTACATAGTGAGATGAAGAGAGAGATTAATTTCATCAGGCACTCCTACATCTTCTCTTGACACTGCGAGACTCAACAGTAAATGGCTCAGAATTTGATCGAAAAAACGACTCTACCTCCTCACTTCTTGTAGTTTCAAAGAACTGCAACTCTGATAATTTTCTCTTGTGGAAATTCGCTCTCACTTTCTTTTTGGGTGTCGGTGGGCAGCTTTGAATGGTTGGTATCTTGTGATCACTGGAAGTTGGTGTTTTGCACTCTTCTTCTTCTTCTTCAACATCTTTCCCCGATGCCACACCTTCTTCAACATCCTTTTCAAGCCCTTCTTCTTCTTTTTCTTCTTCTTGTGGTTGTTGTTCAAGTTTGTTTAGAGTTTCTTGAAGAATATTTTCATGGTGATCCTTTGACATGGAGGTGAAAGTGAATATTTGCTATATAGAAGAGAGGAATTTTTGAAATTTGCAGCACTTTGTATTTGATTTTCTTTCTTATCTTTTTTGAAACAAAAACAATATTATATATTGTCTAATGCCTACTCAAATTTCGCACCTTCATTTCTTTCTATTTTTTTTTCCCTTCTATATACCCTCTCTTCCACGTTACTTCTGCCTTTGGAATTCACCTCTTCCTTCATTTAGAAAAAAGGTTCTACTAATCACGACAAGGCAGTGAAATTCCACTGAAAATATGTTACTGCAAAGAAAGGAATCTCACAACATTAAATTCATATTCCAATTCACGTTTAATCCTATTACTTTACACAATTATTTTTAAAAAATGATATTAAATTTGAGATTTAAATCCGAATATTTATAATTTCCTATTCTATTTTCAAATTACTATCTTTTTGTAAAAAAAAAAAAAAAAATTCATAGTTCTTATCTAAACGGTTCAAATCTGAAAATGAATGGTTATAAATTGACATTAAGATTAGCCTATGACACTTGCCAGCTGCCATTCTAATTTCAATCTAGTTTCCTCTTTAGAGGGGTAATATGTTGTACAGTTGATCACTATAATATACTTAATCAAGAAGATCTCTCTTGCACCACAATGAAGGAAGTCGATAGGTAAGTTTTTTTCCCAACTAGTTCAATAATTTAATTGGACAAGTACCTTTTGTACTATTTCATTATTATTATTATTATTTTTTTCACATAAATATTATATCCAAAAATCGAATATTTTTTTAATCTTTTTCATTCGATATCAATTGATTTTAAACGTGACTAAATTTTACATTTCAATTTTGATAACATTCATGACATAAAATCTTAATATTAATTTTCACGTGAGAGTGAATGTTAAAGTATATAAATCTTAATTTAAATGTGAATTTAACAAATATTTATCTTTCTCTCCCTTCTCCTATTGTGTCAATGTACTTCTCCTTCAATAGCTTGTCTTCATATACAACTACGGGCATAGGATACCCTTTGGCATTTGGAAAATAATTCAAGTCTTGACAAAGACTTTGAAATCCCAACCACATTTTATTTATATAATTAATTTTTTATATTTAAAATTATCAAAATTTAAATATACTCATTGAAATTAAAAATTTAATATTTTATCAGTTGATCATGACCGTTTAAAAATTAATGAATAATATATATTTATCCATCCCTTTAATGGGAAATCCCTTGTTTTATTAATGGATTTTTTATTTTTTTTTGGCTGATTGATGGCTGTAAAAACCAAAGAAAGAAATAATTTTAGATGATTAAAAACTAGATAGAGTCCTTTGAGAATGTGAGGGAATGTAGGGTGTGGATAATAGGGCAAAGCTACCCTCAAAGCAGTTTCCTTTTTCTCTTTTTTCTTAACATTTTTGTTGTCTTCTTTACACCTTTGGTTCTACCAAAATTTGAAGGATACCATAAATACATGGGGTACCATACAGATCAGTTGTTTGGATTGCAACCGGCAAAGTCCGGAAGCTCAGGCAATTGGTCCCAAAAGTAGATCAGTCGTTATATTTTAAAGCCTTTTATTTTATTCTTTTTTCTTATATTTGGCTTTTACTAATTTTGTATTCCCATCTATCAAAAGAATTATTTTTTCCGTCTCATTTTCTTTGTTCATTTTTTTTTAGAATGTCCCAAAATTATATCTTATTTTCTTTTCTAAATATTTAAAATTATTTTTTATTATTATTTTTTTACTTTTTGATATTTATTGTAGTTAATTATGTAGAAGGGGGTACCTTTCATTTGAGCTGTTGTTTAAAAGAATCATAGGACTTATGCAACTAAGAATGTCATGTACAAACAATTAAACACCGTTCTTAACAACATAAATTCTATCGAAAAAATGACGGTTCCAGAATTTGCAGTCTGATAGTGCATCTAACCATTTTGTGGCAGATCCACTGAGCAAAATATAGGATTGTCCCCCCAGTAACTATTCCTTGTTTGTAAGCTACAGCTCTATTTACCTTGGTTGTTGGCTGCTGCCACCATATGCACATTTATTACCTTCTTGATATGGTTGGCTGCTGCCGCCATGTGCACATTTATTACTCTTATCTTGTTTTGCCAAGTGAAATAAATAAACAAGGATAATGTTATGAATATTTCATAAATTATTATAAAATATTTAATGTAAAATTTAAATTTAAAAAATTTTAATGTGATATTTTAATTATAAATATGATAATTAATATTATACTTATTTTTAATATAATTAATTTCAAATAATAATATATGATGGGTGAAAAATACTTCAAATACTATAATAATTAATAGATTAATAATTCAAGTATTGTATTAAATGTTTTTAAAATTTAGAATTACATTAAATATTTTATTATAGTTTAAAAATAATTTTTGACATTAATCTAATAAATAATTAAATAAATATCTGAATAAATAAGTAATTAATTAAATGTTTCAATTAAATAAATAATTTAAATATTTTTATTTTTATGACATGTTATTCACGTTTCATTAAAAATAATAAAATAAAAAATTTCATTATATAATTAAATTTTTTTAACCAAACATAAAAATATTAAATTTCAAATTAAACCAAACATAAGAATCATTTATTTCTAAAAATTTATCAAGCAAATTGATTAGGGAGAATCACTTTCCAAATAAAATCTAACATTCAATGAGTCAAACATCCATCCTAAAAGTAATTAAAAACAAAATTACTGCAATATTAGGTTTGCAAATAACAAAGTTTGTATTCATTTATAATTATACATTAAAAGATTCCCTAGGTTTGCAAGTAACAAAATTACTGCAAAGATTAATTGTAATTAATCCTTGTTTTTATCTCAATGGCAGTGATGATTCACCGGAGCTGTAAAAAAAAAAGGGATCAAATCTGAGAGCAACTTGTCAAAACTCTCCGGCCAAAATTCCGTAGTTGACAGCTACATTAGGCAGTGTCAAATCCCAAAGTGGATCATAAAGAGATTAGACTACGTCAGATGAATCTATAAAGCACGGATACTGTTGAACTCTTCACGTATTCGTGTTGAATTCACGTCAAATATTTTTACGTTTGTGACACATTGTTATATGTATTGAATTTATTATATATTGAATTTGATTGGGTAGAATAAAAAAATAATTTTTATATAAATAATGATATTATATATTTTTTATTGTTATGTCTATTATCATTTTTTTTTCACAAAAATAAATTAAATGAATATTTTTTAAATATTAATTTAATATCTATCATATATTTTTAACTAATAATTATAATATATAAAAATATTTTTATTATGTCCTGCCGTATCCATATTCTTACTTTTTAAAAATTTTCATGTTACTATATTCATATTATATCACAGTTGCATTATGCGTCTGTAATTGCCACCTTTTGACCTATATAAAATAAAAAATCTCAAATTTCCAGTATTTTCTTGATTCTTGAACGAAACTCAATGAAGGAAAGAAGGGCCAATGCTTTCTTACATGTACCGGAATACCATTTTTGGTGCCTTTGATTTTCTTCCTTGTGATGAGTCATCGTTCACAACCTCGTACAAGCTCTTCAATCAACAAATCTCGAATTTGATTAATGGTTATTCACTTATTTTTAATACTATTTTATTTCCTTTTCGTACTAGAAATAAATAAAACAATACCAATATTTTATTTCCTGCAGTTGAAACTAAAATTAGAATTTAAATCAATCAATCAATCAATACCAATATTTTATATTTAAATTTATTTTATTCGATAAAATAAATATAAATATAAAAATAAAACAAAATGAAAAACAAAAATGTACAAATAAAAAAAAGTAAAGAAAAAAATTAATTGACATGTGCCCAAAATAAAAAAAAAAAACCTAAAAAATATTTTTTCAAATCAACCCAATCAATTTATTTCATATTTTAACTAACCCTTTAATAATTTTTTATGTCTTAACTTAAGTGTTTTTGGATTTGAAGAACCTTACATTTAGAGATACCTTTAATATATTACCTTAATAATCTTTTAATCATTTTTTATGTCTTAATTTAAGTATCTTTGGATTTTAAGAATCTCACGTTTTGAAGTCATAGATAATAGACGAGCTGAATTAGGGTCGGAGCTGGGAGTGAAGTCACTGTCCATTTCATTATTGCACGACTGAGCTAACAGCTAGCATACTTTTCGAAAATAGGATTCCCTCTGTTTTATTGTTTTTTTTTTTTGTTTATTATTAAATTTTAAGATGTTTCAAAATTATATTTTAATTTTATTTAATATTTAAAAATCTTATTTTTTATATTTTAAAATTATTTTTATTTTTTAATATTAAAAATCATAAAATTTTAATTCTATAAAAATTTTATTTTAATAATAAATATAATAATTTTTTTTTTAATTTCGTAAAAATCAATAACATAAAATATCTGTCATGCCAACGGAATGAATTCTGTGACAAACAAACAGAATGTTCATAACCTATCACGTAGTGGGATAGTATATTATATATAGCCTGATTCTTTCCATCAAAGTTGTGAACTGTGAAGTGGGTATCTGGAAACTTTTTTGCTTCTTTTGTTTTTCAAATGGAAAATTTTCATGTTCTTTTTCTCTCTGTTTTCTTCTCTTTTTCTTTGTTTCATGGAGGAATAGCCAGAGCTGTCAAATCCCAAGGTGGATCGGAAGAATGGGGTTATGTTCAAGTCAGACCAAGTAAGAAACAAATAGCTTCATAATGTGTACTATTTTCTTTCATTTTGGTACTTTCTTGAATCCAAAAGATTAATGTGAATGATTCTGATCTTGTATTTTTTTTTTTGGGGGGGGGGGGGTGTTTCTTGAGTTGGGTTATAGAAGCACACATGTTTTGGTGGCTTTACAGAAGTCCTTACAGAGTTGAACAACCTTCCAAGCCATGGCCAATCATTTTATGGCTACAGGGTGGACCTGTGAGTTTTCTTTATCACATGAAATGGGAAGAAAAACACTATGAAGTGAATTAATCAGAGAAGGAGAAACTAGTTTTGAATTTCCTTTTATGTTTCATTTGTAAAACTCAGATACCATCTAACTAGATTTCAGTTTTGCTACAATCCTATAATTGTTTGCATATTTGTTTTCTTCACAATATAGGGTTCCTCAGGAGTTGGAATTGGAAACTTTGAGGAGATTGGTCCATTAGACACTTACATGAACCCAAGGAATTCCACTTGGTTAAAAAAAGCTGATCTTTTATTTGTGGTTAGTTAGCCATAATTCAATTCTCTGTTTTAATCTCAGTACCAAAAAAATGGGGATCAACTTTTTGAGTTTTAACTTTTAATGGAATTTAATGATTTTGATGCGATATAGGACAACCCAGTTGGCACAGGTTACAGCTTTGTGGAGGATCCAGAGTTGTTGGTGAAAACAGAAGATGAGGCAGCAACTGATTTAACAACTTTGTTGATGGAATTATTTAACAGCAACGAAAGCCTCCAAAAGAGTCCTCTGTTCATTTTTGCAGAGTCTTATGGAGGGAAATTTGGTGTCACTTCTGGAGTGTCAATTCTAAAAGCCATTGAAGCTGGAAAACTGAAGCTAAAACTTGGTGGTAAACAATTGTTTTTTGGTATTACTTTATCCAATTAATTGTCTTCAATAAGCTGAGGAAATACTTAACTTCGCATCTTCTGTTGAAACGAAAGACTGTTTTTGAATCCTCATCACTGGAATTAAGAGTCTGACACTACCAATAGATCACAAGACTATTGGCAAAACTGACTTTTCTACTATATGATGTGAAATTGAAGTTTTGAACTGAATTCTGATACGTAGGAGTCGCATTGGGAAATACTTGGATCTCACCAGAGGATTTTGTGGTAAGTAGCTTCATGTAAATTGTTAAATTCCAAGTGTATTTGACTTGGAATTTGCAGAATAGAATGTCTGCATTAGTATTATCTATAGATTTTCTTTCAATCTGGATGATGCATTTTCTTGGGGGCCTCTTCTGAACGATGTTTCACGGATAGACAACAATGCTCTGGAAAAATCAAACAGGTCTAGATTTTCTTTAGCAAGAAACAAATGTTGATGAAACTGTTAGTAAGCAAATAATTAAATATGATGATAATATTTATCTGATGAAATTCCCATTTGGAAAATCAGTCTAGCTAAGAAGATTAGCCAGCAACTCAAAGATGGTCAATATGCTGAAGCAACAAATACTTGGATTCAGCTCATGTCATTCATTGAAGCCAACAGCAATACAGTGGTATGGTGTTTTTAACTTATTTTTATCTTCATTTTGGTGGCTTCAAATTTATTGTTTTTCTCATTATTCTGAGAGTTTTTGAGTAAATTTGCAGGACTTCTACAATTTCCTTAAGGATTTAGAACCAGAACATTTAACAGCTTCACCTTTCGCCAATGGAATTTTTGCGGTTAACAGACACTCAAGATATCAGAAAAAATATTCAAGATACCTGAGTTCCTTGAGGGTTTTTCTAGGCCGTGATAGGCCTGATCTTGTTAGATTGATGAATGGTGTCATTAAGAAAAAGCTGAAGATCATCCCAGCTAATGTCTCGTAAGCTTTAATTCCTCTTCTTTTCAACTACAATCTCTGCTAAAATTACTCTTAAAATTTTGATATGTGTTTAACAGATGGGGAGTTAATTCAGCTGATGTTTCCTCACATATGGTGAGTGAATTTATGAAGCCAAGAATTGCTGGGGTAAACTTAGAGTTCTGACTTTTTAACAAGTAGTCAAAATTGCTTGAAGAAAATGAATCCTGGAGAAAGATATCTAGAACCAGATTCCCCATTTCATTTCAATAATAATGATTCTCATGTGTTTGTTGGTTTATATGTTTTGAGGTTGATGAGCTCCTTTCTAAAGGAATCAATGTCACTGTATATAATGGGCAAGTAAGACTTCTCCCAAGCTGCCAGATGCTGTAAACAAATTTTTACACCCATTTTTTTTCATAAAAAGGAGGAAAGTAGAAATTAACACTTAGCTTAGTGATTCGTATAATCATTCTTAAATAATAACATTCAATAAATTTAAAATTCAAATCGTGACACTTATAATCTATTTGCTTATTCATTTCTTGTACTAAGACCAATATAAAAGCAATGATGATTCAAAAAATGGCCCACCTGGTGGCGAACTTGGATGCTATATTCTTAAACTGAGTCAAATGCCACCAAAATAATTCCTAACAGCTGAATTTGGGACAGCATTTTTACTTTTTTTTTTTTTGCTGGTGCAAACTTTGAAATTAATGATGATGATGCTATTGGATGGATGGTCCACTGCAGCTTGATGTGGCCTGTGCAACAAAGGGGGCTGAAGCGTGGGTTAGTAAGCTCAAGTAAGACTCATATTTTCCCTTCTATCTACGTCTTCTTGGCCCTTCAATTTGTGCCACATCCATATAAAAAAAAAAAAAAACCCTTTCCTGCTTTTATCTGTTTGTTTCATTAATTACTTGTATTAACAAAATTTAAGCTCAGATGATGCTGACATTTACACTGGTACTGCTTACTCTTTTCTTGAGTTTAAAATGAAAAATCAATAACACCCACATATAAATAATAAAAAAAATTGAGTTATATATATTTGAGAAGAAATGAGGGGGTTTAATAAATGTGTGAATTGCCATTATATTTTCATTTTATGTATTTTCAGGTGGGAAGGACTCCAAGATTTTCTAAGCAAGGAAAGAACTCCTCTTTACTGCAAGGACGATGAAGCCACCAAAGGCTTCATCAGAACATACAAAAATCTGCAATTTTACTGGATTCTTGGGGCAGGTCACTTAGTAAGTCTAAAACTAAATCACCATCTTATCACAAACCCTTCATTTCGCCAACAGCTGCTGATATGTTAGTAGGATAGTGGACTTTTAATTAATTTAACAATAAAATTCAAATCTGAACAGTCGAATAAAAAAAAAAAGTCATCATTTCAGTCTAAAGAAATACTACGATCATCATCATCATCACCGGTATGATAATCAGAAAAAAAAAAATTTTTTTTACTATTTTTATATAAGAAAACAAATTAAGAAATGAATAAGCAACCAAATTATTATAATGATGCCTTTATGCAAATATTGAAGTTGTTGGTTGTGGGGGACAGTGTGCAAACCCACGTGACAATTTGCATTAAAATAATTAATGTTATAAATTATTTTTGGGTGCAAATATTATAAGTTGTCGGTTGTGGGGGACCGTGTGCAAACCCACGTGACAATTTGCTTTAAAATAATTAATGTTATAAATGATTTTTAAATTATAATAAAATATTTAAAATTTAAAAATTTTTAATATGATATTTGAATTATAAAATTATTAATTAATATGACATTTATTTATAATATGATTAATTTTAAATGATAACTATATAATATATAAATAATTTTTTAAATATTATATTAATAATAATTTATAATTTAAATATCATATTAAAAATTTTAAAATTTAAATATTAATTAAAAATTTATTAATAATATTATCCCTTAAAAAAATTATCTACACATGCTTTCTGAGTTGTCTGACTCTATATTTAGAAACTAAAACATATGCTTTGGTATTGATTTTAGACATATTTTGACTATATATCTTAATCACAAGTGGAAATGAAATTATTGCATTTCTTTTTGGTACAAATCTTTACAGCTGCTGTAATATCAAGTAAGGCATATAAATGAATGGTGTAAATTTATGAAAGACTAAGCACTGGACACTGTTAGGCAAGCATAAAGTCCTACATATCTTGACAATTGATCTGAGATGTAAGATCCATCTATGGCTGTCGGTTCTCATAAAAGATACCCACCAAAAAAAAAAAAAAAAAACAAGAAAGAAAAGAAAATGCATACATTTCTGTCTTTCAGAATTTTCTTTCCTAAGTTTTATTTACATTTTAATGTAGAAAAAAAGGGTGCAAAAAATTTTTATATAAAAGTTGAAATTATTTTATAACTATGATTTGCATGCAGGTACCTATTGGGCAGCCCTGTGTAGCATTAAACATGGCTGGTGCAATCACACAGTCGCCAGCTGCTGAAGATTTTTAAGATGGAGAGGAATGCTAGGGGCAGTCGCCCCTAACCCACTTTCTAAAGAGCCACGCTATCCACTATCAACTATTTTAATTTGTAGACAGACAACTACTTATAATAAGTGATTTTGTTATTTTAGAATATTTGGTTTTACTAGAGTACTTTTGCCTTTTATCTGTTTTTATTCTTCTTGACTTTATTATATGTTGGGATTGGAAACTAGAATTCCGATCCACCATTAATGGAGTTCTTTCGATCTTCCTCCAAGATCCACTCTTTAAATCACTCGTTTAACTTGTTAATGTTCATTATTCAAGATCTTTCTTAAACTTGCCCTTATTCAAGCTCTTTATGTTTTTTAGCCTAAACAAATCCTTGAACTATAGTAATTTATAAATGGTTTTTTTTTTTTTAATTCTCCTATTCTTTTGGCTTCTCATTTAACTTTTTATTATTTTTTAATTCTCTTTTTTTTTTTTTAATTTGTAGAAGAAAAAGACAGTTCTTTTTTTTTTAAAAATAAATAAAATTGATATGGTTACTTATCACTTTAGAAAATATTATGTCTAGTTAGGCAAAAAAATAAAAAAAAATTTGTAGATTCAATAAATTTGGTTTATTTCTCTAAACTCTGATACAATATATCTCTTTAAATATATATTTGACGAAACATTAATGCTCCATATATTTTAGATTTATAAAAAACTGAGATAGAATTGATTGAATATATTTTAGATTTATAGAAAAAAATTTAAATTATTGTTTTATTTGGAAATTGAGATAAAATTTAAAAAGAAAAAAATATTGTAAAGAAGAGAGATAATAAAGGTAATTTAGTCTTTCTAAAAAATGTTTTAAATGAAGAAGCAAAGTTAGATGAAAATATTATTTTTGATAAAAATAAGTGATAAAAAAATTTTAAATTACAACTTAACATAATTTTTTTTATACAGCCGATATTAAAATTATGAGGTATAAAACGTTGTTTTTGTATGAAGAAGCAGAGTTAGGCTGTGACTAATCAGTTTCCGTATGAAAAAAGGCAGATCAGCCTTCGCTCTTTCAATAAAAAAAGCAAGATGAAATTTTACCAGGTGACGGACTGACAGGTTTTTAAGCTTAAAACTTGGATGACGTATAGCTATAGCTGTTGAAGTGTTCAAGAGTTGCGATAAAAATGACTGCCCCTAGCATTTCTCTTATTATTATCACATTCACAACACAGGAAGGAAAGGAGAAAGAATACAAATAAATGATGGGTTTATTTGATCATTGCAAATGAAATAGAAAAAAGGAAAAATTATTGTTGCTTTGATTAATTTAATTGTGAAAAAAGTCTGCAAATGCCTTTTTCTTCACAGCAGGAAAAGAAAACAAACAAAATAATTATATGTTTAATTACTCATTAATTTAGCTTATATTTAAATGCATCTTCTGTCACGGTTTATAGATTGGTAAATTTTATATAAGCAAAAAACAAAAAGAGTAGTTTTTTACTTTTTGATCTAATGACTAAAAAGATTTTATGAAAATATAAAGATCTTGGTTTTGAATCAAAATCTCTTTTTTTTGTAAGGATTATGCTCGAAACTAAAAAAAAAAAATGAAGAGAGTAGGAATAGAAATATTAAGTAAAAATAAAAATTTATAGGCTAAGAATAAGATAGGTTGGATTGCACATGGACCACCATTTCAAAACTTCAAATACTATAATATATGAGTGTGTCTCCATGTAAAATTCTCTCTAATTTTATCTCTTTTTCACTTTTTTTTTTTTTTTTGATTTAAGGGCTTAGTTCGCATAAGTTGATAACTGTTACTCTTGTTCTCTTCTCCTCTTTTCTCGTGAATTTAAAACAGGGAATTTGAATTAAATTTGTTATATAAATTGTGAAAATGATATGCATTATTATATATAAATTAAATGACGTCCAATACACATCTTTTGTGAATATAAATCTTATCTCTACTCTTTTTAGAACTTTATATATACATATACAAATACTATAACCCCATTAAAAGTTTTAAAACAATAATGGAAGAAAATGAAGCCGCTACTGTATATCATTGCAATATTTATTGTAATCGTAATTGTGATTTTTGTCAACTATTTCAACCCCGTGTTCACTAAACATGTAGTGCTGCAATCAGAGCCAACAGCTGCTGATGCTCGTATGAAGGATGATTTTTGTTTTTTTTCTTTTTTTAGACAATTAGGAAGGACGAATTGATATAAAAATTATTTCATTTTTTAAAGTCGACAACCGATATTAATAAGATGTCATATATCTCTTAAAATATATTAAAAATAAATCACATGTATATTTTTTAATTTCTCTTGTGGAGTTAAAAAATTACAATTAAAACATAAAAAACGAACTCATATAGAATACTAGTTTAAATTATGCTTCCAGGCACAAACTTAATGTTGAAAGAAAATAGCACTTGATATTTTTATAGAGATATTAATACATGCAATATATCTACTTATGTCAAAAGGCATGGAACCTGATTATTTAGCATCATGTGTTACTTCAAGATTACATTACATATACCCTTAAAAAGGGAAGCACATGTATCGCAAAAGGAAACATTTGAACATATACAACCTCATTTGCACTCATTGTAATGAACCGGAATCAATAAACTATGGGATATACATAATTTTGTTTCAAAGAACAAAAAATTTATCTAAGTATCGAACTTTACATTGTAATTTCAAGGCTACATACCTGCTTATTCAATCTTTTCTAGCACTTCCAGCCTGGTTTTTCTTTTCCAACCTTTCATTGAAGCGACAAGGTTTATCAACCCCACAATTTGATTCTTGTTGTATTCCTGCAATGCAAAACTATTTTCAGGTTTCTAAGGAAAAAAATTAAAGTACAAAAGTATGAATGAAAGCATTCATCGTTTTGCGGTAACACAGAACACTTCTTACAGGATGAGCACGTGCCCAGTGTACATATTCGGTTTCAGGGAGATAATAAGCCTGTTAAGAGGAAATATAGAGAACGCAATTAGTTATGGCTAACTTAATTCTCCATTATACATTTCAAAACGAGTGAAGAAACCATTTCTGCATCAGTTTCTGAATTGACCATGTTAACTATGCAGTTACCTTGATGAAAGTTTCAACAATCTGTAACTTTGGCTTCACGTTTAAGGGGACAATGTGTTGTAGGCCATTGATTAAAACCTGATAGGAAAAAAAAGGAGTTCAGTCACAAAAATAGAAAAACATGCAAGACGATCAAGAAAATACATTAGAAAATTCCTGTCAAAATTTAAATTACTACCTGAAGGTCTAATGACATGAGAGCTCGTCCCTCATCAGTACATCTCTTCACTCGTGATAGACCTTCAATAAGAGTCTCTGCAACAATTTCAAGTCCATAGTCCAAGAGGAGGTCTTGACCCTAAGTCAACAGAAAACACAGCTTATGGTAAATCATTTCAAATTTTTGTTAGTTGTATTTATTCTTCATCAAAAAGCGGAGACATCATAATCATGTACTTGCATGAACAATAACATTAAACCATCAACCATTTGAATTCTTCATACAAATAAGATAATGATTTCACATTTATCTTTATGTTCCACTAATGAAAACTACATCCGAAGCAAATTAACCTTGTATTATGGACTACCAAGTCACAATTACCATCTCTGGTTATATTGTTTTCTTCCTTTTCTTCTTAACATTCATAATTTTAATTCTTCTCTTCATTAGTAAACCAGCCTGCTTAATAATTACTAATCTACAAACTAGCTTCCTTCCAACATGAATGATAATCTACAAACTAGCTCTTGCATCATAAATGATTAATCCAAGAGAAGTTCATCTGGTGTAAACAAATTATGTTCTTTTGCTAAATTTAACAGGATGATGGCTCATATTACCTCCTTGTGAATTCCCCCATAAGCAAGCCTTGTTTTGTAGTGCTTAAATTCTCCTAACATTAAATCCACATACCTATTCATTAAAACAACTCATGTTAGAGAACTTGTCAAATGGTGGTCATGGATCTATTCAAGCAAAGATAATAGCAAGAATCTTTGGCCAAATATGAGATTACAAACTGAAAAGGCAAATGAAAGTAATGATTTTTAAAGAAATAGGATGATCCCAAAAGAACAAACCCATTGTGCTCCATCCCAAGCTCTTTCAGTTCCCATTTTGCATTAGCAATTCGATCAACATACCTGCCAAAAATTCTGCTTTTGTTAGGAGAATAGCCTAGACAAAAGCACTTCCTAAAACTAGCAGCAATGTACCAGGCTAGCCTGTAAGTATTACTAAACATCTTGCTGAAAGTATTGACTTCATCTTAGAATATCAAAATTCCAAACAGCTAAAGCAAACTTTCACTTATCTCTAGGAAACCCATGAGATATTAACTATGGTTTTGCATTTGGCCACCCAATAGCAGAACAAAGAAATTAATCATTATTAGAGTAATAATGATCAATTTCTTCATTCTGCTATAGGGTTTTCATTGCTATCGCCAATGGATTTAATTGCAGAGGAAATGGGGAAAAAAAGGGAAAGAACCTAGGGTGTGGCTTGGCTAGTTACAGTCATGAATAATAAGCTTGATGAATTTTCTGACAGATAACACCCAATCATGGAAACTTACAAGGATGGTTAGCCAAACGTTTTTAGCCTACCCATTTCCCACAACTCACCATTTTGGACGCAACAATTTTTCAAGCAATTAGAGAAACATTACAACTCTTTCATTAACATTTTTTACTTCAGATTCTTTTTCTTCCTTGGTTCAATAAATTTGGAAGGGATTTTTCAGCTGCAAGCAAAAACTGTTGCAGTAATTTGGGTCGCTACAAGGCTGAGTGGAGAAATTAATCAAAAAGAATCAGTCCTAGCATTGACAAGGCTATAAATGCGCCTGCACACAAGAATATTAACTTCTAAAATCATAAGAAACAAATGATTATTTCTTTTGCTCCTTGCTTTTTGGTTTTCACCATAAAGCAAAAGCAAAAAGCAAAATCATAGATAAAAATGCACAAACCACATAAATGTTATGGCTAAATCAATCATAATGAATCCATACATGAGTAAAATTATGGTTTTTGCTTTTCCATGAAAGTTAAAATTTCAATTTATAATCCTTCAACACAGTTTTTTGCTTTTATGTCCATATGCCTCTTTAGTTTTTTGCTTCTAAGAGACAAAAGAAAGTAACATAAGCAACAATAATATTTGTAAAGTAGAAACCCAGTAATACTTTAATGATCTTACCCGTTAATGTGGAGCAGTATTCTTGCGGTTGTCCTATGTATGTGCTCTATAAGATCTGGCACAGAATCCACCTGGCAATAACCAAGTAAACTTAATATCATATTATAAAAAATATGTAAAATTCAACATATAAATATAATAAGATTCACTTGATAAGATAAGCATGTTAATTTGGAAAACCAATAATGAATTTTATTAAGTCTGTATAAAATAGGCAAAGGGGAACTTAACAGAGAAAAAAATGTTCTATATTAAGCATTAAGCAGGCAAAAGCAAAATATATATATATATATATATATATGAACCGCTTAAACTTACATCCCTGCATAAAAGCAACTTAGCTCATTATTTGCAGGGAATTACGTGGCTGTAAGCAGGGTAAATTGGGACGAGTGAGGGCTTGGAAAGGTAAACATGCTTGTATGGATAGTAGAAAGTGGAGGGAAACCAATAGGAGGACCTTTGAAGTGGAAGAGCTACCCTCATCAAGGTTCTTGGACAAATGTTTCAATAAACTAAATTTTGGATTAATAGGCAACATTTATTTGGAGCAACTGCTGCTTGAGGTTTTGTTTATCAGTATGTAAAAAAGATGAGGTTTTGTTTATCAGCATGTAAAAAAGAAAAACTAACTTCGTTCATGGATTGGCCCCCTTTGTACATTGATAAAAAGAATCTTAAACTAAAATCATAAATTACATAAAGGGTAACTCAATACAGTCATCATACTAATCTAGCACAAGACACTGTCAAAGGCCTTCAAGAATCTATATCATAATAGTTTACTGACTCAACTAATTGTTCAAGGAACCTAGTTCAATCGATTAAATTTATTATTCACACATTTTCATCATACATTGTACCAAAGAATAATTAACCGAATTTAGTATAAAGTACAAACCATACGCTTGAATGTATTATGATACATTCTACATGTTCAAAAAAGTTCAACTTACAAATTAATAAACCAATAAAACGGGAATTCAAGTTCCCAATTTATCAAGCTTTGCATCCTTTAGCTCTTTAAATTGGCATTTAGTTTTGTTGTTTGCTACTTGGATCAGGTATAGGGTAAGCATAAACCCTGTTTGTATGATAATTTTATTTTTCTTATTAGGTCTTTACCCTTAAATAATAAAATTATATTTATTTCCATTTTATTGCTGGTTGATTGACTATGACCAGCATTTTGACTTTTGCGGACAGAACATAATGTAGGAATAAAGAGAAACAATTATAAATTTTACAATTGTTGACAACAGCTCATAGTCCCTCCAGTTCACAAATACTCTATTACTAACCTTACAAACTCGCTTAGAAGATTCGATAAAATGACCTATCCTTTTGTCTAGATCTACAAAGAATTAATAACTTGCTTTTTTATGAAAGGTGGAATTAAAACCTTAACCACCTACTGCTTGACCATTTATTTAATAATACACATACTCTTGAAATGTCCCAATAGAAATCAGAATATCCTTTGTAAAAGAAGAGAGAACTAAGCATTTCTCATTACTAGTATTTTTCATTTCCAATAAATATGGATTAGGAGTGGTCCTACATTGTGAATTAATAACTATTCTGGTCTTATTCAGAAATATCACTAAAATGTAAGTATACATAAAACACTTAAAGTTTCAGTTTTTGCATTTTCATAACCCACATGATTGAGAATAAGAAACATACCAGCTGTACAAAGAAATCTTCAACTACAGCTGTATTACTCTTAAAAAGCAATGATTGGAGATGAGTTCTAGATCTATGCAATATTCTAGCAACAAGGGCTACAGTATCAGCACCTGCACATCTTTCCTGCAACATAAGCGTCATGTTATTGATGGGCATATATATTAACAAATGCTTCATTCCTGTCTTAAAAACAAATTCCAGAGAAAGCAACCTTAGTTTGAAGTAATCAAGAAACCAATATGCACTTAACGTAGATTCTTTTTGTTAAGTCGATGCACAGCTTTTTAAGAAAAAAGTCACATCAACAATCTTTTATTTTCTTACTTAAATATCACATTGAGAAATACAACTACCAAAATAATAGAGTGGGAAGTGGGAGAAGAGAATCTGCTAACAATGGGCAATTTTCCCCATCCAATCCAGGAGAAGAAAAAGAACTTGGGGAAAAAAGCATATTATGAGTCATCCTATCAATCAGTAAATACAGGAATTTACTTTATACCTTTGGACCATAGGAGGTGCCTGCTGGAGGACCAAAATTTGTTATTTGAGGAACATTAGGTGTCACATCTGCATGTACAGGTGGAGATGATAAGGATCCTGATCGAGTTTTTATCCACTGATCACAATCTTGAGTTATTCTTGATAAGGCTGTCTTTAACCGATCTAGGAATTACAAAAAAAAAAAAAAAATGAAAATGCAGAAATGTGAAGTGAACGCATAAAGTAAAGAGATATTAATAGGCAAATGAATTTCCATCATGTATTCACAGAGTTGCAACTTACAAGTTAGAGAGTCAGTAGAACTCATTCCACTTGCATTCATGTTTTGCTGACCAAATGTTTCAAATATATAATAGAAAAACATCTCAAATAATTGGCACATGCCCTGCAAAAATGTACTGAATCAGGAAAAATAATTTAGAGGGAAAAAGAAAAACACAGTTCAGATTGTATTAGAAGCTAAAGATGCAAATCTTAGGAAAAGAAAGGTTAACCAGAAACACACCTTAAAAAACTCAACATTTACTATTTCAAGTTTCTGCATCAACCTTGCATACCTATCCATTGACCTAAGGTGTAAAAATTAGAAAACAGATCAATTGCATTTACATATAACATCATAATCAAAAACAGCTCTTAATAGAAAGATCCATTTTCCTTTTTGAACTATATAGCATCTAACCTTAGAAGACAAAGAGATGATCCAGTTTGTGCTGTAAACTCATCATTACTGCAATGAGAAGAGTAACTTTTTGAAAGGCTGGTTTTTGAAATTCGACTAGGGAGCTGACTATCCTCATCAATAAAATCAGCAAGTAAATCCTCATTTTCCTCTTCTGATATAGAATTGGAGCCATAGATATGATTTACATCACCATTGCGTGGAGAGACAACATCACCATGAAGATTACCAACATTTCCCTCACATTCACCAGAGGTTGTTCCATTAAGGAGGAAGGAATTATGAGCTTCTTTGGGACTGCTGCTTGCTTTTAGCAAAAATGGGTTTCCATTTCTAAGCCAAGGAGAAAATCCACTCTTCTTGGCACCTGTGTTTACTGATTTGTCAGTGTGAAGCACCCTAGGATTAGAAGAGTTACCATCAGATGCAGCAATTAAGGGTGCTCCATCACCTACCAGCCCAGCAAAACTAATTATCTGTACCGTCTCTGGTGGCAATCTAAGCCAGGTTTCCTTCTCCAAAACCATTTTAAGCGCCTGGAAATGAAACAAAAAGTAAGCCCCAGCTCAGTTTCAACTGCATTAGTACTATGGGACAGAAGGTAATAGAATTAAGTGCAGAAATAAAAATAGTAACAATTTGCAATATTGTTGATGCCATAAAATGAAAAGTACGTACAACAGATAAACCATTGTTATAATAGGCTATAATATGCAAGAAGATAAACATACAAGCATTTATATCTATCCGCAAAATCAGTGCACCACATTTCACTTTCTGTTTAAAGTTTCATGGAAGTTGGTGCAAATGAATTCAAAATCAACGGTTACTACAAAAAATAATGCATGTAAAAGATGTCCACAAATCTGGCATTATGATCTGTGGAATACTTATAACAATGCAGACAAGAACCTATGAAGCCCATGACTAGCTATAACTTAATGGTAGCCACACCCTGAAAGTCTAAAACTTTAAATCCATCCTCCCCCAATAGCAATACCAACACCATCAACAACAATAACCATGAATAAGAATAAGTGTTAAGTCCAACTTACAGATATGTTTTGCCGATGAAATGCTGCAAAATAATTTTCACAAACACCCTTCAGTTTCTGCCTAAATTCAACTGCCTCAACTCCACAGAAGGCTTCCCCAGCCAGGATGAATGTGTTGAGATCTTCATAAATTTTCAAAAATTGATGAATGCTTGTCGAAGAAGCAGCAGAACAAGAAAGCAATACTGATATTCGGCTAGTTGTAAGTTGCCAAAGATTCTTACGTCCCCTCTGAAGGGTTTGTGACACAAAAGCTATGGCTTCTTTCCTTAATTGATACCATGGAGATCCACTGCTTGACATTTCACCATCGCCATTTCTACCCTCAGAAATTGGTTCCTGAGATTCTGCATTTCCAGAATCTGTCCTTTCAGATGCATCAGCTAAGGAAGTGCCTGTTGTAGACTCCTCTACAGAAGATGAACCTGGTGTCTCGTCTACAGATATAGAGAGAGAAAGAGCAGTTAACCCAATGGAATTGCAAGGACTTTAGAAACTGAATCAATGTGCTGAGCCTCTACAGCGTTTACAAAAGATGTTACCTTCCATCAATTTGGCATTTGTTGTTGGGCACCCTAAAACCTGCGACAGGATAAAAACATTTCAAAATGAAAGAAATCAAAAGAGAAACAGCCTCCCACTAACAGGAAAGAAACCAGGAATACAAAAAACCATAGTATTACCACAGAACTCACAAAGATTTCACATAAATACACATACATTCACACCCTTATATACCATACAATAGATTTAGACTGACGCCTCAAAAGAAAACCTATGTAAAAAAGGGAAAACCATGTGAGTCAAAGCAGGGACTTGCATAACTCCGATACTAACTTAGCTCTCCCATATAAATTAATAAAAAGCAGCTATATTTCTTGGCCTTGGATACTCTAGGAAGATAACATTGACTAAAAGCCTTTTCCACATTTCCCAAAGCTTGAGAAGGGTAAATGAAAATTACGCATAAATGTCACAGGAAGGAAAAGTGGGAGACAGCTGGAATTATTAAGCAGCAATAATCACTAGCATTAAATAACAATAAATATTCTAGATAAACAAATGAGTAACAGTAAGGATTCAAGTTTACCTTATTCTCCAGCTGAAAGCCCATGATTTCATGGTATGAACACATCAATTTGAACAGGACAGCTAGTGTTCTTAATAAACACTGCCTAAACTTAGATTCAGGTATCTGAAGGCATAGATCACTGTAGGTAAGTCTGGAGTCAAATCAAACATAAGTTAGAAATGATAGCAAAGAATTAAGTGCTGGTAACTAGTTGATAGAAAGATAAGTTTAGAAGGCATACCTACTATTTTGCATATGTACATCTTGATCCTGCAAAAGTGAATCAATCATCTAAGTTGTCCTATCATATGACAGTGAAAAACATAAACATCATGAGGTGCAAGTGGTAAAAAGGACATAAAGAAGACCAAGGAGAAGTTCACAAGAAAACAACCTCAACAGAAGTGAGAAGCAGAGGAAGGCTCTAAAAAAGAAACTTATGATTAGTTCTCTCATTCATCTATGGTTTCCTGTCCATAATGATCAACCATATGTATTCAAGTTTCCTTCTCCCTCTGATGGACTGTTAATATATTCATGCACTCTTTTATTACCCACAGTCCTAAAAATTATCATCCAATTCACTAAGTTTGAATTTTTATCAATATAGTTAACTAGAAGAGGCACCCAGTGACCTCACCATCCTTTTCCAGCCAGTGCATCTGAATAAGTACACTAATACATTGCTTGGGAAAAGGCCCCAAGTCTAGAATTTTGCGTTACATAATTATCAGCATGTACATTAAGTTAATTAGTTTAAGTTGTAAATTAAAACTCTGAGGTGCCATATGTATTTTCCCCTGAATGTATAGTTTGTATAACCAAAACATTAATATTACAGCATACCTCATGGACAATACTCTTCAATACAGAGTGAGTTTCTGAGATAACTTCTTGCATGAAAAAACTTTGTATCTTTTCAGCAAGACCAGAGACATCTCCTATTAAAGCATATGCATCAACCACCTGAAGCATTGCAAATACGCTAACCTCAATTTTGCAACAAAAATAATGAAAAATGATATTCATAAATCTCTAACTTGCAATGGCAAAAAAAATTCTCTAGCTTGCAGTTTTTCCCTCAAAAGAATGAGAAAAATGTTGATGAACTTGACAAGGCCTGACACGTAGACCACAGCAATGGGACGAATATTGCAACACAGCCCACAAAGCCAACCCAAATGATAGACGAGAGAGATAATTGGAAATTTTGGCAGAGCAAAAATAAAATACTAGAAAAGAGTTTTAACATTTTCGGAATCGGACTAAAATTAAACATGTACCATCAGCAAACAATTACTAGATCAACAACTATAATGAGAATTATATGATATTTATTGTTGATTGAAATAATGCAATTCTCAAGCAATGACAACTAAACAACCTTGACCGAATGGACAAAAAATTCCTAGTTCCATCAATGGCTATCAAGCAAAGGAGTTTTTAATGCACATACGAATTGAACAAAAAATTGGATTAGTCTGCATACTAAGTAATCTGTTAGAAAGAGAAAACAAGAAGTACTAGACCAGGAGAAAACCAAAGGGGAAGTGGGCGAAAGTAGTACCTTCTCTAGTCCACAACAATATCCAAACAAAGAAAGCTGTGAGAGTGCTCATGCTCAAAGTAATCAAAGCATGATTCTAGCAAATCTCCTGATCTGCCTCCCTAGCATTCTATGCATACAACTGAAATATAGTTGTACAATGAAAGGTGCAAACAATGATACATCATCCATTTGATCAAACATATCAACATCAAATTAAACTCATGATGAGGCAGCCACTGCAGATCTAGATGCACTTGAGACAAATAAAATGATTTGACCAAAATAACTTTATGATAAAAGTGATGCATAAATCATCTAGAAAGTTGAAATCAACAACTTCACGCATGCACCATGTAAAAAGAACAAAGTTATGATCCAAATCAAGGCAGAGAATAAAAAACTGACAGTTAAATAGCTTTCTTCTTTAAACTCCTGGCAGACTCCTAACAAAAGAGAGTCCAGCTTTTGAAGAGTTCTTCCTAGCCAAACCTGCATTAATATTTAAAATGGTGAAAAGAAAGCTTACTTCACATTTTAATCCAAGATTGACTATGTGCAAGTTAACATATACCTTTCATAAGCTCTTAATAGAATTAAAAACATAAATTAAGAGAGGGAGACAGAAAGAGAGAACACCTTTTGGTACAAATTATATAAGAACTACATAATAGAAACTTAACGCTCACCTCAACACCACGGCTCATCTCGTGTATTGCTGAGAGCTCTGACAAACTATCAAGTAGTTGTAAATACTCAGATAGCACTTGAAATGCCTGTGCAATAACTTATATAAGTAAACTCTTTCAGAGAGCTAAAAAATAATTATGATACAGTAAATTGACGGGAAAAAACAAACAGAAGAAGCATAGGTAATACAATTTATGTTACTGGCACAACTCACCTTGCAGTAATTACCTTCCTCAACAAGAGATTCGAGAGCTAATTGCATGTCCTGTGCATGAAGAAGCTCAGCCAATACTGGAAGCAAGTCCTGTAATGAGAAAAATGAAGAATATGAAAGCATTATACTTTTCTCCCAGAAAGCCAAAAGGAAGGGAAAATATTGTCAAGTCAAAGATAGGCATTGTTAAGGTGTGTATAAGAGAGGATTTACCATAAGAGCTTGCTTCTTCTTAGAATCAGTGTTCACAACAAGGTCCCTTGAAACCTCATTCATTGATGAGGTTAGATGCCTTCTTCCATTCTGCAAAAACCATAAAACAAACTCTAATGAGATATAGATTCAATAGCAGAATAACAGCTGTACAGGTAATATCTACAGTAGTTGACAGAATTACAAGGTACTGGGAAAAAAATGAAAAAGAAATGATAAGCTGACATTTGCTCCAGATGAGGCTCTTTAACAATCATACATGAAACTATGTTACAATGCAAATCCTTACCATGCAGATAACATTTGCAACCTTCAAGTCTTTCTCCAATTCCCTGACCAAATTCATACCCTTCACTGGCCAAAAGCAAGTATCAAAACCTCACTTAAAGAAAGACAAAATGAATTCTGAACTTCTCATAAACCATCACTATAGTACACACAACAACAAAAATTAGTCAATAAAAAAAGCTTACGCATTTCCAACCCGTCATCCAAGGAAATAATGAAATTAAAAAATTGTCACCTTAATTAAAGAAACAAACCAGAACACAACCAAATCTTAACCATTCTGTATAACCCTACAGAAATTTATAGAATATATCTTGATACAAGCATCAATAAAACCAAAACTATAAGACATCATGCCAAGATAATCAACTTACAATTAATAAAGCAAACATTTCCATCTTTAAATAGTAATTAGTCATGGAACCAACTTTAGTAAATCTATGCATATATCAAATCTTGATGCCTAAGGAGGAGATTTAGAATTCCAGCGATTGATACTCTAGATATCATATGCCAAAAGTTCCTTCAAAGATACAAAAACACATGCTTTTCATTTCAACCATCAATAGACGAGGAACAATTGGTATACCAATACAATAGAATCAGATGATGTGTAAACAGAGATTACATCCGTGGAATTGCAGAGCGAACATGAGAAATCTCATTAAAAAACTTACCCATTACTTCATGATGCTCCATAACATGGCGGGATAAACGTTCAGCTACTCTATCCAGTTGTGCTAATCTAAGAGTGGCCTACGAAAGAAATGAAGATGGATGGCTAAATATATCATCTTAAAGAAATTTCCAAACAAGAACAAAGATGTCTGATGGCAATCCAATAGGAACTCCCAGAAAATGGCACAACTCACAAAACAATGGAACAGAACAAACAACCTCCCTCTCCACCTATTTTGCCATATCCTCATTTAACAACTAATTAGGAAATGCCCTAAACAGGAGAAATTAATCACCCATATTTCCATATGATGTAGGATTTTATAAATTTTCTGACAAAGATGCATTTATCAAAAGGCTGACTTCCATAAAAGCAATCAATATAAGCATACATGTCATCAAAGCCATAAAGAACACTATATCTCCCAATTGTTATAACCGTTAGAGAATCACACAAATTCATTTCAAATGCTTGAAAAATAAAAATAGGCATAGAAAAGAAATGGTTATGCATACATGACAAGGATGAAATCTTGAACATGTTTAGCTCACTGGTACAATGTACACCCTAGGATCTTTGCTCCACCATTGCTTACTCAATCTCAGGCAATTCAGAAAACCCCAAAAATCAGCCCAGTGATATCTCAGGCAACACCTTCTGTTATTATCAGACACGTCATGATTATATGCCCAAACACTAATCAGTTATTAGTGTGTTCACACCCATAATAATGACCAAGGACCGTTTATGGAGAATAAACAAGTTACAGCAGGGCATGTCGATTATGACTCTCAGAGGGTTAACCATTCATGAACAGAGTAAGCAAACCAATATTATAAGCATTAATTAGAATATGCACTTAATAAATAAGAATTAACAGAAAAAAATAAAACCTTTTCTCAGACTTAAAACAAAAAACTTAGGTGATCTAAACATTGTAGTATTGATGGGATCAAAATCACCAAGAGAGGAAAATATTAAGCATTAAAATTCTAAAATTGACACAACATAAATAATTAAAGTGCTTAAATGGAAGAAGACAAGCAGCAGAATTGACTCATTCTTTTCATCTTTTTAACAGTCTAATCAGTGAATCCAGAAGGAAAAATACCTGTTTCTCAAAATATTCTAGTTCATTTTCTTCAGAAGGAATATGCTCCAGAACGTGTTTTATTGGATCAAACTCCTGCAATAGATGGACTTCTTTAATACAATAAGACCAAATTTACCATCAGCAAATAGAGGGAAACAGATTGAAGAAACATAAAAAAAATTAGCATGCCTCAGTAGAATACAAATAATAATAATAAAAGAAACTAGTCTTTCTTTCTTTTTCTTTTTTTTCCTTTTGGAAGCATCCAATTGGAGCTGCTCTTGGATGCTTCCAATGAACTACAGTTGCACTGCTCCTTCTCCCATCCTGTTTTCGTAATCTCATATCAAACAAGAAAAAGCAGGCCATAACATAACAGTTCTTTCTCATGTCCTTGCAATTCACAACATATACTTTTAACATATGATTACTATGGATAGAACAAAGAGAGTGGTGACAAAGAACAAGAGCAATAAAGGTTAAAACAACAAAAATAGCAATCATAATAACTCCTTTATATTCAGCTTAATTGTTTAGGTAATTAAAAGAAGTTGAAATTATGAATATAACTCCATTGATTTTGCATTGCACCATAGACAATGGTTCTCAAATTAAAATTTATATGCCTATGCAGTTGTGCATAAATATCCAAGCGACACCTCTTCATAGAAGTCTTCCTCTAGCTCCTCCACTACTTGACTCTGAGGTCTGCTTCCATATATTGACCTCAGTTCTTCAGAACTTGATGGAAGATTATATCTCTGATGAGGTGGCAATCCTGCTAGAGCACGAGCAACAGCAGCTGCTGCAGCAGCTCGAGCTGGAACCTGTATGAGGTAATAAAGAACATATAAATCAAAATTTCAAAATTCATAACTCATTTGAGCTTAACATATTCAAAAGAAAATCATTCATGAATCATTATCATACCATATGAAAGAACTGAGCTTTAGTTCCAACAAGAAGTATCAACTAAAATCCTATGATCATGACTAACATATAAACAAAAAAACCCAGCAAACTTTTAGCTCAATAAACATTAAAAATCATACCCAGACCATCCACTGCTTTGTTTTCCTAGGAAACACGTTGGTCATTGCTTTTGATACTTACTTTTTGCCTCCCAAAACAAAAAGAAAGATACGCACCAAGATATAAAAGCAAACAATGTAAAAATCAAAATATCAAAATATCCAAAGATTAAGTAAAACTTGAGCTACATTGCTTACCTCGGGGCGATCAGAAGAAGAAACAGAAGGCAAGAGACCAAGCGATCGGGCTGACCGTACGGAGCTGAGGATTTTTTCCCCAACCTTGGACAAATCCATTCCACCTCCTTGGAATAACAAAAAAGGGACCAAGAAGAAAACCCTAGAGCTCTCAAATCCACCGTCGCTTAAATCGCCACCGTCACCGCCAACGCCGCCATTCAACAAAAACGGATTCCCTAAAACGCTGCCGAACGGAAACAGATTCGGCTGCTGCATTTCATTTCAACTCCAGATCAAAACCAAACATCCCCGTCTTAAAACGCCTTTTTTTTTTCTTTTATAGAGATCTGCTTTTTTTCTTTTTCGGGATCGGATGGGAAGTGAAGGAGTGAAGTTAGATCATATTTGATAATTTTTTGTTAGGGACTGTTTGGTTGGAATTTCGTCAATGAAAATTTTTGGCCTTTCTGTAGACTTTTGGAGCTCCTACTCTAGCAACCGAAGGACCGGGCCAGGGAGTTAATGGAGTTTTGGTATTTCATTACTTAAATTCATTGAATTTTCAATCGAATTTAAATACTAATTTCAATAAAATCTATTCAATATAAATTTTTTAATCATAATTATAATAATAATAATTATTATTTTTAATATCATCATAATTAATTTTATTGTTCATCTAAATAAAATTTTAAATAATAAGCCAATGAGATGTGAGAGAAGCTTGATCTAGTCTTTATTTGAATTAACAAGATTAAAAATAATAATATAATTTATTTTAATTATAATTAAAATAATATTATAAAATAAATTGAAAAAAATTAATTAAAATTTTATATAAAATTAATTTTATTAAAATTAACATTAAAATTTTTTTTTTGTTTAAAGGGCAGAGCCTGTAGCAAGAAGAATGGTTGAGATCGAACTTCAATTTAATTTCATTTTAAAATTTTTTATCACTAAATCAAAAACTTAAAAACACATTTAAATTTAATTAATAATAGATAACATCACACTATATTTACGATGAAATCCAAAATAAAGCTCAGAGGCCGAGCATAGGCATTTGCCTTGTGGCATATTTGGTCAGTACTTTTACAAATTTCAAGTTTTAATTTTTGAAAAAAAAAAAAGAAGTTAGAATATTGCTATTGTTTAAAGAAAAAACTTCGGTTTAAAAAATGTGTTTAAAATTTGATAAAAAAATATAATTTAAGAATTTTAATATTTAATAATATTATATAAAAACTATAATGCATTGAAATGTCTAAAAATATATACATAAATTTTGTAAACCATTTCATTAATATTTTTTGTTTGAATTTATAAAATATACTTTTAAACAAAAAATCACTTTTTTTTATTGAAATTAGCTCAAAAATAGTTTTTAAATACAAAATTATCTTAAATCTTAATGCTAAATTAGCCATAACTTTATTAAATACATTTATTTTTCCCTAAATATTTCAATCTTTATGTAAAAGTTACGAATGAATTTTTTTGTTAATTTGAATTATAGTAAAATATCAATCATTTGAAGTGTGCAAGTTAAATACTTAAATGTAATCAAATTCTAAATTATATTATTCTAAAAAATAAGAACTATTGTCCATTGCATTCAAACCTAATTATTTTCCCTTCAATGTTAGTGATTCAAAGAACAAAATCGAAATTCTTTTATAAAAAAATAAATACAAAATTAGTGGACTTGGCCCTTGGGTATCAATTTTTTTTTTCTCAAGACAAATTGAAATGTGTCATATTCTTTTAAATTTTGCCTAAAAAACCAAACAATTTTAGTTACATTATGGTTTAAGTTTATTGATCATTTATAAATTTTAATAAATAATTTTATATTTAGATCATTTATAAATTTTAATAAATAATTTGTCAGTTATAAGTAATGTGTATACTAAAAATAAAATAAATATTAAAATTAAATATTTAAAATTTTATTATTTGTAATCAAATTATAGTATTCATATCCTACCTAAATCCATTTATAGAATATTCTAATTTTACTTAAACCATTGAATGATGTTGGATGCACAATTATAATTACCCACATTACCATCCTGGTAAAAACTAATTTGGAATGTATATAAAATTATATTAAATAAATCACGTGTCATGCATTGTTGTGGGTGTTTTTTTTTTTCTTTTTAATTATATTGAAATGTGAGAAAAAATGTTAAAATACAATAACAAATCTTAATTTTTAAATTGATAATATAAGAAATTATGTTCAAATAAGAATGATAATAAGGACAAGTTTAATATATTATTGACTTATAATTTATTTTGTTCTTTGTTTTTTGTTGGAGATTTTTCAGAAAATAGATATGAAGTGAATGTAATTCGTGTTTTTGAATTAGTATGTTATTATTAACATGATTTAATTCATAATTGATAATATCTAATAAATATGTTAAATTATATTGATTTACAATTAATTAAATTTATAAATATCATAAATTCATGAATAATTAAGTTTATCAATAATTAAATTCATATATTTTAGATTTGATTCATAATTAATTAATAATAAATATGAATCTAAATTTAAAAATTTAAATGACATAAAACACATAATACATTTATTCATTATTAATTAAGTTTATAAATATAAAATTCATGAATATGTAAGTTCATAAATAATTAAATATCAATTAATGTTAAATTAGCTGTTATTAAGTAAATTTAAAAAACATAAAAAAGGTAATTAAAAGAATTTAAAAGTGACAAAAATGAAATTAATACAGTTGCGTTTATGCGCGCAAATATTAATAGAAATAAAAATACATGTAAGGTCGATAATTTGAAAATTCCAACCTAAGTAAGCCTCAAAGATTTGCTCAAATTGACATCAATGACCAGATCCTTCTAGATAGAAAATCCAAAGCAGAAAAAAAAAATGGGGGGGAAAAAAACGCAGCAGCATGACTACAGGAGGCAGCCATCCTTCGTCTACGACTCACCGTCCCTTTGCTGGCTAGCAAATAAACAATTCAAATCAAGCTTTTATTTATTTTTTGGTAATAATATAGACTAAATTAAACCAAACCCGAAACCCAAACCCGACTCAGATCTTCCCTTCCTTTTTTTCTCACCATTTCCTTTCTCTTTCCCAATTCAAGGAAATCCTACAAATGCCTCTCTTTCCTTCAGAAAACGGTATCGTAGGAGACGACGAGAGAGAAGAAAACGAAGAAGAAGAAGAAGAAGAAGAAGAAGAGGACGAAGAAGAAGAGCCGAGGCTTAAGTATCAAAGAATGGGAGGAAGCATCCCTTCCTTGCTTTCCAGCGAGGCGACGTCGTGTATTGCCGTCGCCGAACGCATGATCGCACTCGGAACGCATGATGGAACCGTTCATATCCTCGACTTTTTGGGAAATCAGGTGAAATTTTCCTTCAATCAGTTCTTTGGATCTTATATTTCGTTTCGAACCTTAATTTCTCACTTTATTTTGTTGTTTCACATTCAGTTAATTTACTTGGAATTCAAAATTTTAATAAATGTTTATTGGATAAGTAAATTTTAATAAGTTAGTTAGTTAAGTTAATTTTTTAGTTACATTATGTTATTGATTAATTTTCGAAAAGGGGAAAATATTTTTTGTTATGCTTTAAATGTGTTTGGTGTTTATAGGTTAAGGAATTTGCTACTCATTCAGCTGCAGTGAATGACCTTAGTTTTGATATAGAAGGTGAATGTATTGGAAGCTGTTCTGATGATGGCTCTGTTGTAATAAATAGTCTTTTCACTGATGAGAAATTGAAATTCGGGTATCATCGTCCTATGAAAGCTATTGCCCTAGATCCTGATCGTGCAAGAAAAACATCTAGGAGATTTGTAGCTGCTGGTTTAGCTGGTCACTTATATTTAAATACGAAAAAGTGGATTGGCCATATGGATCAGGTTCGTGATACTAGACCGACCTTAATATATTTGAAAATGGAGATTTTTCTTGATTCTGGATGTTGTGTATTTTAATGTGTTTGTAGGTTTTGCACTCTGGTGAAGGTCCAATCTATGCAGTGAAATGGAGAACGAATCTTATTGCTTGGGCTAATGATGCTGGTGTAAAAGTTTATGATGTTGAAAATGATCAGCAGATTACATTTGTAGAAAGACCAAGAGGCAGTCCTCATCCTAAAATTTTACTCCCTCATTTGGTTTGGCAGGTTAGTCAAAGATTAAAATGAGAAATGTTAAATGTTGTTTCAGACTATTGTATGTGTCTAAGCAACTGCAATGGAATTTGTTATTATTCTTTCTTTCAAAGTTTTAACTTCCCTAAGTCTTCATGAAGCATGATGTTGTTTCTTATCATTTTTGCCATTGCTTCTTGGCTGAAATTGACATTCAGGATGATACGTTATTGGTGATTGGCTGGGGAACATCTGTCAAGATTGGAGCAATAAGAACAAATCTGAACAAAGAAGCCAATGGAACATATAGGCATGTTACAACATCTAACATGAACCAAGTAGATATTGTGGCATCTTTTCAGACTAGCTATTATATGTTAGGAATTGCTCCTTTTAGTGATGCTTTAGCTGTTCTAGCTTATATTCCTGGTGAAGAGGATGGAGAGAAGGAATTAAGTAGCACAATACCATCACGACAGGTATAGGTCCTGTTCATTTGTGGAGCACGTTAAGTTCTCATCATGGCTGACACCCTCCTATTTTGAGGTTATATTGTGCTGTCTTTTGTGCATTATCCGTTACTGATCTTACAAATAAGCCAATGTATCTGGATAGTGTGATACAATGCTCAACAGTAGCTATGCCAGTGGTTGCTATAACTACTTTAAATTGCTGCTCTGATTTGAATTTTGAAGCTTTGTTTGTATGAAGGGGTTCAATGTAGAAGTCTTTTAAATATTTGGCCTTGCTTCTCTTTATTTTTTGCTATCCTTTGAGTTTAATAATTATGTGGGCAAGTGTAGTATCAAAGGAATTAGCTAGTATTCTTTTCTTAGTAATGCGGGATCTGTGCTTGTGATTTCCTTTCCGTGATTGTTATGACTCTCATTGCCATGCATAATATGCTAAAGCAGGGGAATGCACAGACACCAGAGGTATGTATATTAACTTGGAACAATGATGAATTGGCAACAGATGCCCTACCTGTACATGGCTTTGAGCACTACAAAGCAAGGGATTATTCTTGGCTCATGCTCCCTTCTCAGGTTTATATATCTGTTTTTGAAGTTTATGGGTCGTTTGACAGAATTACTATCAATAGTTAAAGAGCTTTTCTCATATGAATGTAGGAAGCAGCTATGCTGGCGGATGGTGGGCTGCTGGTGATGAACCGATATACTATACTGTATCACCAAAGGATGTTGTCATAGCAAAACCCAGGTTACTATCGATTCTTTGTAATTATGTTTCTTTTGAAATATTATGATTGCTTTTCATTCAAAAAAGGATAATGGTTGCTATAGTAATATGTGTTAATAGCTAATTACATTTGTCATGAAAGATATTAGTGTTGATTTGGTGGTGGTATTTGTCCTAAAGGAATTTGATTTATGATTAATCTGTC